TGGAGCAGGGTGCTGATCGGCCGGAATCTTCGTCGATAAGGCCCCCCCGCAGCTCATTGTAAATGGTGCCGAGGGACATAGACGAATAGAGGGAAGACAATTGGTCCCAAGTTTCCTTGGCCGATTTCTTGTCCTTTATGTAGGAGGCGACGGCGGGAGAGCAGCGAAGACGGATCGTACCCATAGCCCTGACGTCTTTTTCCTTCCAGGCGTCAGCAGCGGTAGAGTCCCTGGTAGTACCGGAGACGACGACAGCTGGCTGCGTGATGCTGCCATCAACATTCCCCCAGAGGCCTTGGGACATAAGGTACGCCATCATTTGCTCGGACCAGGTAGGCCAGTTCGAGCCGTCGAGGACGGGGACAACAGCGATCAGATTGTTCGACATTGTTGCGGAGCGGTTGAGAGATCTGAAATCTGTATAGAGATCTCATCAGTATCAGCGAAGCTATGCAGCCCAATAAGGGCGCACTGCTTCATGCTGTTGGCTCCATTAGGGAGTTACCCCAGGATCGATCATCAAGCCTGATGGCTGCTGATAACAGTGCCTACGGCGATGATCACGCATCAAGCCACACTGCAGCCTGTGAGGGCGCATAGGGCGATGCACAGGTGAGCGAGGCGCAACGCGCTGCAGCGAGTTACCGCGCAGACGCAAGCTGCCTATTTGGGCTCATAACCTGATGAAGAGTTATGGAGGCAGCAGCACGCACAGTGCGCCCTACACAACTCACCTGTATTTGTTGGATGCTGTAGCTACTGGTAAAGCTCGTATGAACGACCCTTGTCATTAGGCAGCAGAGCTGCAGGGTTTATATACACAGTGGCCCATAGGCTGATTAAGCTACGTGGAATATCTATAATCCTACTGAGCTCCACCTATGATGTCACTGGCCCACATGAGCTCCGTGCCCTTGTACAATAATGGAATATACCAGAATGTTCCAGAGGGTTCCGGTACATTCTGGTACGTTGTAGAACCTGGCAGCTAAGTCAGCGCCTAGTTCAACACGTTGTCCGCCCAATGTTTCGATAGGTTGGGTGATACCGTGAAATTCTTTGGTAACTGCTTGTCCTTGTGGTTCTAACTCTGATGACCGAAGTGGATATTAAAGGTACCGACTTTGTTGTGCGCGACATTGACACATTGTCTAGATTGATAGACGGAGAAACCGTCCCAATCAATTGCAGGTATCATGTACTTCCCGATTCCTCCTCCACTGACACCGCTTACAGACTGGGGCTGGTCATATGGAAGTGCCATCGGGCAGTACATGACCCAGATACTTCCTCCAGAACGTATCAACCGAATGATCATAGATGGTATAGTAGACGTTGTAGGCTGGTCCGGCTATCCCATCCAGCCATATAACAGTAGGTCCACTAATCCTGCTACCTGTACATAACCTGACGCGGCTCACAGTTACGGATGACATGGACCACATCCTGCAAGAATTTGCGGACAGCTGCGCTTCTGCTGGAGACGCCTGCGTTCTTTCGAACCTTACCTCGTCTCAGATACTATCCCTAATAGACAGTACTCTCGACGAACTGTACTATTCGCCTCCACTTGCAACCGACCTGGGACCAGGATATGGTTCGGTGGAGGTGGATGCGGGTGTCCTCCGCTTTGCGCTCTTTGAGTCCATGTATTTGATGCTATCCTGGCCCACACTTGCAGAGTTGCTTGCGGAGACTTTCGCAGGAAACTATACGTCCCTAGTGCAGGCCATCGTGCCCGCTATCTCGCCAACTTATGTCACAATGCGTGACGACTCTTCTTACGCTACCTCAATGATCTATGTACGCAAATCAGATGGTGTGGCAGAATGGTATTCGCTGACAGATATGCTCTAGTGCAATGATGCGAAGCCATATGACGCTTCTCATCCTCCTCCCTCCATCGAGCAGCTCACAGACAATGTAGTGCTGGCTCTGAATCAGAACTCGCGTCGTCTTGGCGAATTTCTTTATGGATTGGGACTCTGTCAATTCTGGCAGGACGTCATGCCCAGTCAGAGTCATTATAATGGAACTTTTGACATTGCCCCCGGTACCTTGCAGACACCTATGCTCGTATTCAGGTGAGTAGGCTTTCTGCAGTCGTTCATCTTCATCAGGCTAATTTATCTGTCTGATTACAAGCCAAACCTTCGACCCCGTCACTGATCTCGCCAATGCGCTGCGCTCCAGCGAGCGCCTCGGCGACAATGCCAGGCTGATACAACAAGTTGATGGCTATGGGCACTGCACCATCAGCCAAACTTCCTTCTGTGCTCTGCCAATAGTGCAAGCGTACATGCTCGATGGCGCAGTTCCAGACAGTAATCATACGCTGTGTCAGGTTGACCAGCTGCCGTTCAAGCCATTCGATGAGCAGGACGCTGTCAATGGGACGGAGGGTCTGGATTTGGAGTCGAGGCAAGCATGGGTAGCCCTGGGTCTTAGCTGGGCCAAATTGGCAGCAGCCTAGATATACATTGGTTCGGTAAAATTATTGCCCTCTGTAGATCCATGCCTCAGCCGAAATTGCACCCATATGGACTTTAGTGGTCTAGAGTGCATGACATCAGATCCCGGCGACTGCGTCGAGGGCCTCGTACTTAGACTTGCTTGCCTCCAACCCGAATTCCAGCACTTGAGCACTGTCCGTCATGGGTAATGCCCCCTGGCAACTCGGCATGGCCATAATCATCTTGTGATATGAGAGAGAGAAGCAATTCATCAAAGCCCCGGACGACGAATTTAACTACGTGCCAGTGGTCGAGCCGTCATAGCAGTGACCCGACGGCTTTCTAACTTTTTCTTTCTGGGTCTGTATAGAAAAGAGCATCCTGTCCAGGGGATTCCAGCGGGAGCGGGGCCCTGTCAACTTGATGTTGGGAATAAGCTGTCCAAACAATGAGCGAGAATTGCTATATGTTCCTGGCCGTGATAATTGTGCGTTGACCTTCGACATACAAAACATACAAAGATACCTCTAAGCGGGTGATTATTTTTGGAACGGATTGTGGCAAGGCCACACTGATTTCCCAAGCAAGAGACAAGCTGAGTAGATTGGGAGTATGCCGAGCGAAATGTTCCATGCTGAGTATACTTAGGTAGACGTTCGGGACTCGGGGATCCTATATGGTGTAGGATCTTAAGTTTGGGCCAGGCAAGCGCCATATGCTCTATATCGTCCTCAGTGGTGGCAAGAGCCATACTGTCCCATGCCATGAATATCTGCTCGATATCCTTGAGTTTCAGAAGCTTGGCGAGGAGCTTGTGAGTGACTAGAGGTGGGTCTTCGTCGCGGCCCGTGTGGGATGCTACCTCGATGGTCTTCAAATGGGGGAATGTGAGGTCCTCGAACAAAGCATAGTGAGGCTCCGCATGGCTCGCATCCCGCAGCTCCAACATGACATCTTAAATGCAATCACCTGGCAAATGGTGCAAGATCGAGGTGATTGGACCAACCCGACCACAAATACTGATACGTTCAAGGCTCACGAGATTCTTCATCGCCCGCGGTTTGATTCCAACCATGAGTCGCGCACGTCTATGTGGAGCCCAGAAAGATGTTTCAGCCGCGAAACAGTGAGAATATTTGCCTTCGTCACGAAGGGAAGTGGAGGTCGCCTGACAGGCTGCTCCCCGGCGTGAGATACTAGAGAAAAGATTGCCGAGAGAGCTGACATGATCAAGGCATGAGTCGTTGAGATGCACTGACATCAGGAAAAAGGGAAAGGTCTGAAGGTCTAAATGTTTAAATGTGTGTTTGATCCAGGTATAGCAATTGAGCAGGGGTGAAGTGTTGGGTCCACTGGTTGTAATTTACTTCTGTATTCAATAATGTATTGTATCCCATACACAAAGTGCACAAAATGTCTTGCTAGGGTTGTATCAATACAGGGTCTGAACGACCCAAATCGAGGTTCTAAAGGTCTGACGCGCTGAAAGGATTTCGCACAATGTGATTGGTCGAGCAGAGTCTGATGCGTCTGAAAAGTCTGATGCTCAGCCTTTTCAGACCCTTCCCTTTTGACTGATGGACAGCTTCAAGTGCTTAAGACAAGGTGCTCCGACAGCAACAGTTTGTAGATAGCTCTCGATGACCCGAGCGGCACTTCGTGTGTGTGGATGGAACGGGCTGATGTCGGCCTTTATCAGGCTAGGAGCCGCAAATAGGCACAGCTCAGACTGCGACAGTGTGCGACGGTCCCGGTAGAGGTCGAATGTCTGTAAATTTGGCATCATACTGGTGCCCTGTTCTTGAAGAAGATACTCAACTTGAGATATGGAGTTGTGGAGCACCGGCACATATAGTCCATCCAGGGTATGCGTCGAGCATAGCGATTGAATACTGCCCAGTCTTAGGTCGCTATCTCAGGCATGAATATCTATGTAGTTTAAGTCCATTGCACGTTGGAGGTAGCGCGGTAGGCCGCCTACATATTTCCCGTTTCCTTGCTATATCGAAACGCGGAAAGACAGTGAAGGAGCGGAAACATGGAGTTCATGTACTTCCGCAGGCCAGGTTCCGCAAATGCACGGCAGGTCAAGGCAGCATGAAGTAAATCGTTGCGCTTGTCTAGGATGTCGTCTCCATCGGGTCGGTACTCCCGATCCAGAGGCAGATCATCGATGTCCGTCGCAACTTGGACCGCCGCATGGACGGCGAGTATCTCGCGGAGAATGTCAATGATAGTAAGTGCCCGATGCATGCCTTTGCTAGATGGTACGTGAACCGCTGTCTAGCAGGCCCCCTGAAAATACCCATAGTGGTCTGATACCAGTTTTGGCTAAGGTGTCACCCCGACCTGTACCCGCCTGTACCGCACCCGCAGCGGGTAAGGGTACAAAACCCGCCCGAGAGACCGCGGGTCGCTGGGCGCCCTTGGCCGATGCCCGAGTTAGGGCTTTGCAGGTTCAAGGCACCCTATTAGAGCTCGGTGAATTACTCTCCGCTGGGTTCTCGACAGCGTTATCAACGTTATTAACAAAAATTGTAGTTATTAACATGTAATTAACATTGTCAATAACCGAAAGGCCACATTTGACCACATTCCATGTCCTCGACAATACATTCGAGTTGGTGCTCGTAAAACACATCCCTAAGACCTCAATAAATGTAGAGACATGTTCTCTTTGGAGCACTTGAAAGCCTTCGTAGGAGCAGTACTGTGAGGAACAAGTCATCGAGCAGCGTGAGAGACCAGGCTTAGCACACGACGAAAACAACCTCATTGCCTGGACAGTAGGTGGCATAACTGTCTCGTCCTCCGTAGAGTGGCTTGTAGTCGCTCACGAAACACCAGATACACCCCGACACTGCCCAGAGTCTCCTTGGATGACCATATCCCGAATACCCAGTTCAGGGTAATTAACCAAGGGAAATCCGACCCTGAGATATTGACAAGTAATTAACCTGTTAATTACAGCTTGTGATTAACCGCTGCCAAGAACTCAGGGTATTTCACTGAGCTCTACACCCTATTGAAGGTGCTGTTGGGCCAGTTTCTTTGTACACCTGGATCTGACAGTGCCGTACCTGACTCCAGTATCACCGGGAACCAACTTCCCGTGTTTTTGCTGCATTTACCCTTCAAAAATCACAAATTTCGTATAAATATTGTACCCTCCACCAGATCCGCGGGACCCGAGACCCGTTGGGACGGTTTCACGGTAGCGCGCGGTTCGAGGGATTTCAGACCCGAGCCCGCACCCGAGCGACCCGCGGGCCCAATACCGCGGTGGTACCCGCCACCCGCGCCCATCCTTAGTTTTGGCAAAAATTGCCCTCAAATGGGTGCCAGGTCTGATACAGTTTTGGTAAAGGACCTGCCGGTGGGATCAATCTTGGATACCAATTTTCGGGTAAAAGCAGGCATCCAGAGCAAAGGTCAGAAACTATTTGGGTAACAATTATGGCCACAACAGTGCCACAACTTGCCACAATAATCAGGTGGTGAGATTCTTGGATTCTGTATACACCATTGCACCTCAGAGAGGCTCACAAAGCCCATACATAACTGAATCTGGTATCACTGCAGGCACTGGACTTTTTTTGTGAATAAATAAATATCCTCAAGCCCTCAGGTTGGATACCAATGTTTTGGTAAAAATCACATCTAAGGTGAGAGGTCGGATACTTTTCGGGTAAAACAAATCCCAATATGGTAATTTTGGTTTTGGTAAGAATGGGGGGAAAGTTTGTATCTGGTATCAGACCTCTATGCATATTTTCAGGGGGCCTTGTCTGGCACGGTAAAGTCGCACCTGCACCACAACTCATCACACGCATGCAACACATCACGTCACATAACACATCACGGTCGGGCTCAATTGGAAGCTTTCCAGGTGACAGTAAGTATTTTGCGACTGCATACCCCTAATTACTAAATAATTGGAATGCATCAGTACTGGGGGAAGCAGAGGTAAAAGGACAGGCTTGAAAGCCTGAAATTGGTGGTACTGTACACGGACTTGAGTTCACTGTGACGACTGTCACACGGGCTCCTGGCAACATCAAAACATTTGTACATGAGCAAAGTATGTATATTAATACACTGCATTTGCTGCACTTTATCTCACCGGTGGATAGGCACCTGGATGACCAAGTTGTCACGAACTATCTATAGACTGAGTTGTCTTGCCAGTAGATAGCTGCAAGAATGTTCCCGTGTCTCAAATTATCCATACCTGAGATTACTGGCCAAGCTGTACCTGAAGATTCATAGGTGAGACATTCTCGCCTTAAACATCTTGGTGGGGGATAGATTGGGTATCACAGGCTTGGGACCGTTGATAAGCCTCAGGATTGTCTGACCCCCGAAAACGCGGACTCAGCACATTGTACAAGCCCCCCGGAGCTTATTCGACACAGCACTCACATGCCTCTAGGCTTCTATGGGCTCTAAAAGAATTGCTCTATTTAGCTCCGGACTTCGTAGCATCCTCAAGGTGTACACGGACCCATTCTGCGATTTATCTCCGCGAACAGGAGCTCCGGAGCGACTTAACCAATGCGACTTCTAGATGAATTAGCTCCGGGGCCACGGGCGCTTCTATCGAGGGGCATCGTCCTCATGCCCGACCTCCAACACTCACTCCCTCTCCTTTCCATCAAACTACCGAAGGTGCGGACGCATACGAGTCACCATGAGGTCAGCATCAGTCAGCAAGTGGCCGGAGGTAATTAGCACATGACCAGCGCGTCACACGGAGTGATGGGACCGCTTGGATCAGGTGGCGGAGCGTCGAGGCGACCTCTAGGGGCTGGGACGAGCAAGTGGGAGTGCAAGAGAGTTGTATCGTGTATAGTATAATGGCGGCAAGTGCTGAGCAATCCTGTGGGTAGCGGCGTTTATTTGTTATTTATCTCCGGATGGTCGCAAAGCCACTCCTGTAGTATAAATTGTACAAAGTAGCGTACAGAAAAACAAGTTTCGACTTCACCATCTCAGAGAATCAGTGTTACGATCTCAGCGATCCGAGAAGTTCGAAAGTGTCGAACTTAGCGAATTATAACCGATCCTAGCTTTGCCAATAGGCCTGACTCGTCGAGTGAATTATCTCCGCCATCGATTCAATTAGCTCCGGTGAGTCTCACATAGCGGAATAAAATTAAACAAGTCCTTTTAGCATTTTCTACTCCCGTGGGCCCGAACCTATACTCGGTTCCGTGGTTTGCGACTTTGTTTGCAACTTTCCGGAGATAAATACTCCGGAGCGTCCACTAGTGTTTGTTTCAGGTGTCAAGGTTTTTGTTTTATTTTTCTAGATCTTCCTACGGACTACCCTACGGCGTCTTACTCCTCCTTTCCCCCTCGAACTATTAAATACCCTTCAGTTGGCTTGGACCGCCTTCACCCATATCACGGGGTTTAGGTTTATTCCTTTTGGTCCTTGGTGATTGTTGTGTGTCTGTGCATATCACCGTAAGCCATGTTGACTGTCTTGTGGTGCATAGAATAGCCTATGGTTCATGAGACGATGAGATTCAGACGATCAGATTGGTTACATAACATCCGTATTGCATCCGATATCTAAATACAGTAACAATGCCACCAACATGATCATCCCCTCGATCTTGCTCTACCAGCTCGTACTACCACAGGGAATGGACAAAAGCTGTATCAGAGAGAAGGCAAGCAAGTAAGATTGGCTGAGCACAAAGTGGGACTGGTGAAACCACTCACTGCCTAGCAATACTAGTAGTACTAGTACTGGTACTACACCCAATATCAACGCCACACAGCCGAGATTTACGATGAGGGCTGCTGTCGTCACAAAAACCAAAGGCTGAAGACACCTGTCAATCCAGACCTTGAGCTACAGGTACGATGATCACTCACCAGAATTTTTTTACTACCGCAGGCTGCTCAAATACTGCGACAGTGCAACCCTAATGACGAGCTCACCTCCATTGTGTTTCCACAGTGATTCTTGGTATTTCAGGGTCTTGAGCTTGGGCCAGGCGAGTGCCATATGCCTTATGTCATCTTCAGTGGTGTGAAGAGCAGCAAAAGTCCAGTCCATACATATATTCTCCAGATCCCTGAGTTCCATGAAGTTGGCAAGGAGCCTGCCGGTGAGTAGGGGTGGATCTTCAAGTTCCCCCACATGCGTCATAATCCCAATAGTCTTCAAGCAAGGGAAGGCAAGCTCCTTAAATAAAGAATAATGAACATCTGCATGGGATTGATCATGCCGTAGCACCAACTCGACCCTTTGAATGTGATTGCGCAACAAATGGTGCAAAATTGAGGTAATCCAATTGAGACAACAGCGAAGGCTAATATATTCAAGGAGTGCGAGTTCTCTCACCATCCATGCTTTGATGTCCACGTGCACCCTATGGAAGTCGATGTGGAGTGCAACAAGGTGCTACGGCGATGGAGTCACTGCGGGATTTGCTTGTGGCATGAGCCCGAGTCCAGGAGACCAACAGGGAGTTTCCCCCACGCGGAAGGCCAGATAGCGTAGACTATGGAGCGAGGTGACACGACCAAGACAGGAAGAATAAGTAAGATGCGAGGACACTACCAGGTGCCTCAAGTGAGGAGCCCGGGCAGCAATGACAACAAGGTAGCATTCAAGTACCTGAGAGAGCAGTTCCGTGCGAGGCTGAAATGCACCAATATCGACCTTTATCAAGCTAGGAGCTGCGAACAGACATAATTCATTTCGCGAGACCTTGTAAGGACCCCGATAGAGGTTGAATATCTTTAACTTCGGGAGCATGCAAGTGCCCCTTGCCCGAGAAAGGTACTCAAAGACGGAGCCGTCGATGGCGGGGCAGTCGAGATAGTCCATCCAGCGTATGCGACGAGCATAACGGTCAAAGACGGTCCAGTCCCCGAGTTGGATCTCCCGCGCAAATGCCTAGGAAGTCCTGAATCAGACAGTCATATTGGAGGCACCACTGGGAATCACTCACATATTTACCCCTACCCTGCATCAGGAACCTCGGAAATCTCCATATGCTCCATATGGAGTCACACGGAGCCCCGGAGCGATGGAGAGGTCCCCCCATCGTCCCGAGACGGCCATCTCCGTCCGGTTCAGGACGGAGACAGCGTCTCCAGATGGAGACTCCTGGAGACACCACGTGGCTTCGGCGGGAGTTCGTATACCTGACACCCGATATCTATCCCTCACATAGGGACAGGATATGGGCTTATGTTTTTGCTATACGTGCTCCTCTTTGCATTCGAGCAAAATTTAGCACATATTACTGTATATTAGTGGGGGGCATGTCTCCGGATGGAGACCTCGTCTCCGTCTGGAGAACCGGAGCCGCGGAGACGCTGTCTCCATCCGGAGATATTCCGGTTTCCTGATGTGATCGTACTGAAACGCTGGTAGCATCAGTCAAAAGGGAAGGGTCTGAAAAGGCTGAGCATCAGACTTTTCAGACGCGTCAGACTCTGCTCGACCAATCACATTGCGCGAAATCCTTTCAAGCAAGACATTTTGTGCACTTGTGTATGGGATACAATACATTATTGAATACAGAAGTAAATTACAACCAGTGGACCCAACACTTCACCCCTGCTCAATTGCTATACCTGGATCAAACACACATTTAAACATTTAGACCTTCAGACCTTTCCCTTTTTCCTGATGTAGACAACGAAGGAGCGGAATCAGGGAGTCCATATACTTCCAGAGCCCATCAAGCGCAGGATCTGCGAATGCACGACAGGTTAATGCAGCATGAAGCAAAGCCCTGCGCTTCTCTTGGACTTCGTCTTCGTCAGGTAGGGGGTTGCAATACAGAGGTGGGTCATTCATATCCAAGTCCGTGGGATCTTGGACCGCCGCATGGACTATGAATATTTCATGAAGAATCTCAACGATAGCAAGTGCCCGGTGCATAGTATGCAAGCTTGGCCAGGAGAGAAACAAGGAAGAGGGTCAGAGACACGAGGCCTGCCGTGCAGTGGCACCGTCTACGCGTGTACGCCACTCATTAGAACGCGCGACGCGTCGCGTCACGTAACGCTCCTGCTGGCTCCACTTTGTAGAGGCATGCCAATGGACGTTCTACGACATTCATTGGTGACTTCAAGTGATGCGTCAGCAGTCGAGTATTTCCTAGAACACGTACAGTGTCAGGCAGCTATGTATATCAGTGCATCATCGGATCAAGTCAGGTCCTGTTCTATTGCAGGAATAAACGGTCGTCCCGAACATTGCACGTCACCCCAAAAGTCACCGTGTCGAATCCAGCAAATTCGCCGACTTGGAACGACTCGATTGATCCGGAAAAGAGTACAAATGGTCATTATAGAATGTCATACGTGGGGGGATGGAATGTACTATAAGTCTCTTCTTCCCAGCGCCGCGCTCAGCATAGAACCACATAAATAGTAACGAACGTGGAAACGCCGCGCAGTTTCTCGTGAAACCGGCGCGACCAGTTGGAGGTGGGGCGGTGTCCGTATGGAGGGCGACAACGTGAGACAGGATCAAGGCGAATGGGATAAGTCGGTAGAAAAGACGAGATCAGGTACGAGTGGAGCCACGTCAGATGTCATCCGTCCGCCTGGGACAACGAGGACCAAGGCCGGGCACGAGAAGCGGGAAGGTGAGGGGAGAAGGGCGGCGAGACTGACGACGGTCGCGGAGGGGTAAATGTGACAGAAGCGCCGAAGGAATGGGAGGGAACCCTCATACATTATGAGGGGGACAGGAGTGGGCAACAGAAAACACGCGCGACAGGAACATTGAGACTACATAAAAAATATACTTGAATGAGAAAACAATGTCCGGAGATTTAAAAAGATTCAGTACTGTAACGTACTGTGAAGCTGGTCCGTGGCCAAGATAGGAAACGGATATGGCAAGCAGCTGATCCCGGGGAGGAAGATAAATGAGACCGCGGTATAATGCATGAGCGAAGGAAGCGAATAAAGTCAAGTTGGAAGCGGAGGACGAGGATGCGACGAATGTGACAAAGGGATGATATGACGCTGACAACACAGACTGCACGAGGACCCATACACAGTGACGCCCAGTAAAAGCGAAGAAGGAAAGCGTAAAAGCAAGAGGACACGTGTAGCACGCACTAACAACCAGGAAGCCCATGACCATCAATGCGGATTATCCTGTGCTGTATCACCTGCATCGCTGAGTGTTTCCACCCGCACCCCTCTCGAGGAACTGACACTTCGGATGTCCCTTCCTTCTTCTGCCAACTCCCGGTTCAATAGCTCCGAGTTCCTTCCGCTTCCATTATTAGCTTCCGGGCTTTCTCCCTCTTCTACGGGCCTCCCTGCAAAGTCGGGTTTCCGCAATGCTTTCCGGAAAGCGTCCGCCATGATTGCGGCATCTGCACCCGAGAACGGAACGGGTTCGCTTGCTGAGTGCGCCTGGGATATCGTAGACGCGCCGTCGTCCGGAGCAACTGATGGTGGGTGTTCGTGGTGAATGGAAGACGCAGCTCCTGCAGCAGCACCAGCGCCCATGCCTGCGGCAGCCAGGCCAGCCTCACCCAGAAGCGGCGATTGAGGACCACCCATGCCTCCAACATTCGCCATCATAGGCGATTCAGAGCCCATGGATGTGCGGTTGGCGTTCGCTCGCCGTGCGCGCATTCGCCGCATGATCAGGAATATAAGGATCCCAGAAGCTACAAGAGCCAGGAACCCAAGCACCACGATTGCGGCGATGGCGCCGTGAGGGAATGAGCTACTGGCCCCAGCCTGTACATTTCCGCCGCCGTCGCCTGCGGAGCCGCTCCCGCGAGGGCCTGCACCTCCGGAGCTGTTCGAGGGTATTGTTCCAGATCCAGAGCCAGAACCGGTTGGACTTGCTCCAGCTGAGACCCCGGAAGTTAATGACGCAGACCTGGACGACTCTGCTGCACGCGATGAGGACGCAGCAGATGCTGAAGACGCGGAGCTTAGAGACGACGCAACAACGTCTAGGTATGTTGTCTCTGTATTAAACAGTCAACACATTGTCGTCGATAGGATGCAATAGGACACTCACGGACTGCGGTGAAGGTTGCTGGAGAGTATGGTAACGACACTGGGGACCCGCCGGCGCTCACGACCGCCCAGTAGAAAGGGTATGATATTGGACTGTTGTCCCATGCTCTTCCTCTCTCACCGAACCACTGGTCGTTCACCTGTAGCGAAGTTCTGCCTGTCCGTTCCCAAGAATTAGGCTGGTTGAGCAGAGAGGTCACCGGCTGGTTAGTGTCGGCGTGGAACAGGTACACGTCAACGCTGTCCGTATATTGCCAGTACGGAAGCTTGCTATTCCCTACATCCGAGAACCATGAGCCAAGGCCATCCCAAACGACATCGATGCACGTCTGGTGACTTACAGACGAAGTAGCAGTACTCGTGTTGTGGGACCACTGTCTGTCCATCGGGGAAACAGGAAAACACGTCGTTGCCCTGGTTTGAGCAATTCTGCAGTGCTTGAGCTAAAGAACCGCATGGATGAGTACTGGGGTATCGGGGAGAATAACGCCCGAGGTAGATTGCTCATGGCGTGCCTATTGGAGTAGATTCTAATGAGGACTCACAAACTTCTGACTGGTCAGCTATCTGTCGTTTTGTGGGCTGCTCCTCTACAGACAGTCTCCGGCGCTTTCTTTTCGGTGACGAGGAGGATGAAGAGGGTTCGGGTGGAGGGGGCGTCTGTGCGGGCCAAGGAGGTTCGTATGTTGCTCGGGGCGACATAGGTCGGTCAGGCAGCACGAACGCAGCCGACGAAGCGAATAGAATATAAGTCGCACAAGCTCTAGCAGCAGCGAGACCGAAATACGAGGACGGTATGCCGCAAGTTTAGCAGGAAAGAAATGACGACAAGCGGTGGAGCGATATAGTACTAATTGGGAGGTGTAGTAGGGGTCTAAGGTGCATTATCTGGGTATCGAGGGCAAGGCCGATAGATCCAAGAGGCCCGTGCTGTACGGCGGGGACAGCGACGACGGCGGCGGCAGCGGAGGCAGCAGCAGCGACGACAAGCTCAAGGACGGCGTTGCGATTGCAGCTGGGAACTCGTCCAACCCATGGCCGCTCGCTACGCTGGCCCATCTTCTGACCTCAGACGGCTCCCACACTGAATTAGGTAATTTTATGTTCTATTTCCCGCATTTGTGCCGTTTTTGGATATTTTCTGTTCCAGAACGTTCCCGTTTGGTAATTGTTCCGGTCCAGCGAGCACACTGGAACCGTCTGCAGCCGCAGTTATGTCACGGCTGGACCAAACATCCTGCCCTTTTATTCAGACGTGCTACCGACGGCCCCAACCCCCAGATAACACAGATACAATGCCTATCGACTTACCAGGCACGCGAGAGTCGCGAGGCCTCCGACGTCCAGTCAGCAAAAGCAAAAGTTCCAACGTGCAGACGGACACCGTCGGCCGTGCGCGCAGCCCAGAGCAAATTTACCGGCGTCCGTTCGCACCAATCAAGCAATCCAAACCTTACAGATTATTAAAAGCCTCCGCTGCCAGCCAAGCAATCAGCAGTGTCGAGGAAAACCGCCTGGTTCGCTGATCCCAGACAAAAAGCATCAGTTGGATCCAGAGTCTAGCCTCTTCAAGCAGGGGAACGGTGCATCCTGCCGCTGGGCCGGGGTGGCGCCCTTTATCGCAATTAGCCAGGAGGACGATGTCGCGGACGACTGCAAGCATGAAACGAGAGGCACACTGGCATGACATAGACTTTTCGTCATTGCCTTCAACTTCAGCGTAAACGTCGCGGAGAGTGATCTTGGTGCCTGACTGCACGTCGGCCAGGCCCGACGAGTGTCGAGAACGCAGCGGGATCGTAGCCTCGTGGAGTCACTGAGACCCCGAAACTCCGTGGTCCACAAGACCACCGAGTATGATGTTCGAACTCAGCGGCAGCCAGATGATGAACTTGAATCAGCTTGGATCCTGCTCGCCGGCGGTGAGGCAGCCATGGACTACAGTATGAATCCTTCGAATATCATGGGTATCATTTATGAATTTCGGGATGCATCAGGAACGCCTACCTGAACACTAACACTGATACGTTTATGAGATGGCGGGAATGTCGACAGCTTAGAATCCTTCTATTCCCTAGTCTATCTTTCGCCTCGAATTAGCGCACATCAGATGTCCTGCCGGCCAAGAATTAGACCGGCACCCCACTAAATGAAAACATACCCGCTTGTGGCAATTTCGACATCCCAGCGTGCGCTCCCCATGCGCGGACCGTCCGCTGGAAGGAGAAATGTCGGCAGGGCGGAAAGCCAGAGAACAAGCAGTACCTCTGACTAACGCGAGCCTCATGCAGCACGAGCGCCGCGGTAGGACTGGCCGGGCGAAGGAATCACGGGCGCGGATCGTAGTAGTATTCTTAGATCTGCGCTCAGGCCAGAGTCACATAGCACTATGGACGCATGGTGGACCACCACGCTCCAATAATAACGGTTCCGTGCGTACAGTTGCCGTTCTGAAGGTGGACTGAGCGCCCGGTCTCGGGGTGAACATTCCGATTACCATCCAGAGCTCGGAATTGATCAAGACAGGAGCAGAGTCCCTATGAAGACCCGTTGCTCGCCTACTCGGTCGAATTGAGGAGACGCCGTTCACAAGTCTAGAGCAGAGTGACCGCGAGGGACTTTCAAAATTCTATGTTGGCCGCGAGAAGGAATTTGCACGGTCGCCCTGGGTACGAAGACCGCAGACGTCGGTTTATGATCCCGGGCGACGCACAGCACGCGCAGTTGCAGGAAAGAGAATGCCTTCATGGATTTTCTCTACGAATATTATCTGTCAGGAGACCGCCATCCTAAGTGCAATTGCGATCAGCAGGAGTCACTCACGGAGGCGATATTCATAGAAATCACCCCACTCGACCAGAGAGTTCGCACCCTCTCAATGATGATAGACTATATGGGAATCTGGGTATGTCAGCATCAGGCTCAGAGATGCGATTGTAAGCCTGGACTGAATATTGTTACATTGCGGCGGAGGTATAGGCAGGCTTGTTGCTTTCTTCAAAAATGACTGCGCAATCCCACTCCCAAATACAGACATACCAGGCAGAAGACAGCTGATAGATGGTTGCCAGCATCCAGGATAGAAGACGTATTCCTTTTTACAGTTTCTCTCTGAAGGATACATCAAGGCGGAGAGACTCATGGCCAGAAACGAAGGCAACTTTGTGTCGCTTCGACAAGTCTAACTATGGTTAAGCTCGTCGTCAGCGAACAACATCGTATTATCATTGGTTGATAGGCTTTCAAAGACGCTCACCGTGGTCTCATGCCCTCATGTGCCCTGCATACAGGCTTTGAGAGGCCTGAGATACTTCGTCAATTCTTAGTCTAGAAACGCAGCGGTTGCTATCCTAACTCGCGGCAGCGCCATCTGGAGCACAGGTTCTTGAATGTCGTGCGAGAAATGTCAGTGATAATCTAGCACGCTTTCAAAGAGTCTCGAGTTCGCCTTGACCAATATAAATGATAGACGTCGTGTACTTTTGCGTGCGACGTCGGGGATATAGCTCAATCCTGCGGGTCCCTAATAGTTTATCAGTGTAAATGGGCAACGGCAGGGTATGCAGCACGGAATCATTGAATTGGCGAAAGCGAGTCGAAAGCGAGTAATTCATACAAATGCACATGTTATCTCCAAGGACAGCGGGAACGAGACGTAAGGTGTCAGAGAAAGCAGCAGTCGGAAAGAGAGAAAGAAATATAAATTAGTGAACACACCCTACGACCTTGTCAATTCCCAATTCTTGAAGATAGCTCTGAAGGTAATATGAGCTTCCAGGGAGGAAGGGCGCCGAGCGGGGTCCTCCTGGGTCATGCTTCTGAGGAGGTCTAGATAATCTGGTGCTGACTCAACCGTTTCTCGAGCAACGGGATCATCATGCTTTCCGTCGATTTGTACGTCAAGATAGGATTAATTATGTGCGTCAAGCATTTATCACTCACCTTTAGTGCTTCCTCTAGCTCCCATTGAAGGACTTTCCCAAGGTTATATACGTCCGCAGCGAAAACATCATAGGAATCGCCCTCTGCTGTCTGTTCCGGAGCTGCAAAATCAGAGGGAGGTCGGGAATTACTCGGAACCATGCGGCTCTGACCAGGCTCCAAGAGGGTAGAGCAGCCGAAGTCGATGTACGCCATACGGAAGTCGAAGGTGCTGTGGAATAAGTAACCCGGAGGAGGATCATGTTCACCCGTGGTCCACCCTCTGCAGTCACTGTGATTCCACAGGATGTTCTCTCGATGGATGTCCTTTTGACGATCTCAATATTTGTGCTAGCCACGAACAGGACGATGCTTACCCCATGGCCGACCCTATTTTCGTGCATAAAAACGAGACCCTGCGCAAGCGTCAATTACAGATTCTCTTAAATCGGAGTGCATGTACCTCAAGAAGCTGAAACACAATCTTAAAGCGAGCGGTGACACTGTCCGGAGAAGGCCAGTCCCAGCATCTGCCCCAGTAGGGTTGAATGACGAAAACCATATCACCCGCTGAAACCAGCGTAGCTGGGATAGTATGGTTCCTAGGGTCTTGGCGTAGATTATGGCTGCGAAGGTGACTCAGCACCTTGTACTCTGCAGAATCTCGCGTGACTGCTTTGAAGAGGACCTGCCGTCCTACTTTATCTAGTCCTAAGTACAGAGTGGCACGCTGGTGACAAGTCGCATACTGAAAGTGAGTATATTTACCCTTCATCATATAATCATGGCCTTACTTACCGGCTGGAAGAACTGAGGCAAGCGAAGATACTCCACTTCTTCCCACATAAAGACCGGCCGATGGACGAAATCTTCATCGTCCTTGGGAAAGAATGGATTCAACGCGGGTCGCCTTGGTATACGCTCAAATACTTGGGGATCATCGTAGGCTGGTGCGCCCAGCAAAGTGTATCCATGCTGAGCGAGGAACAACTCATAATGTTCCCACGGCTTCCGGAACAGGCTTTCGTCTTCTATATTATCCCAGTCTTTCAGTTCATCAGGTAACGGTGAAGGTACTAAATGCGATTCGTCGGCTGGCACCATGTCGACGTGCAGTCCGAGTCGCAGAGGGCGAGCAAGTCCCGCTCTGGGTGGTGTGGCGGAGCCGTCGGTCGACTCCCGGCGCCTTTTGAACGGTGGAAGAGTCACAGCTAACGAACGCACGTGACATGTGACGATTCGTGTCGAGAAGATTCAAGCCACGAAATGCGCGTTTTCTCAGCGGAGGGAGCCCAAAACGGGAAGACTTACCGCTGAGTGATTATCGATGCGCCAACTGAGCGGATGTTACTCTGCTTCCTGAGTATCCACGGTCCTGCAGTCGGTCCCGCAAACTAAGCTTCTAGCTTCATTCGCAAGAGAAAAAAGTCGGGTCCGTGACTCGCCACGTCAGGGATTCTTCCGTTCTCTTGTCAGCAGCACCTTGAACTGACTAGGTGTGCTTCCCCTCCGTTAGCGCTCTCGTCTTCGGCTTCGGGGTGAAGTACGATAAATTGATATCTAACCATCGAGACACAGCTTTCTATCCATAAGTGAGGACAAGACCTTTTTGTGCAAACCTAATCAGTTGCCACGACACGATTCAGGTTGAGCGCTCTAACCTGCGATAATCTTATCTTTCGCCCGAGGATTGGGACTGTGTAGCATGTCACTGCGCATTGCCAGTCTATGAGGGACCTGAAGTATTCAGGTTGCTCAGAGTTAATTCTCACAGCCAGGCATTGAGGTGAGTAATATCTGCTGCTGATACCCCAGGATTTACGCGTATAGCCGCAGCCTTGTCGTAGCATGATCCTTTCTTCCCATGATCAACAAGGCGTCTCAATGCCCGCGCGCCCAACATCGTGGCATGATACTTATTACGGGAATTACAGAGACGTCCTCATCAAGGTTCCTCGGACAGGCTATTCGTGCAACCTGTTGACTCGCAAATTCCCTGGAGATCGTTCCTCAGTTTGCTCACCATGACTCGCATATGAGAAGCCAACACTATCCCGTATCCCCGTGATCCCGTTGTCGGCTGGATTTGGCCTCCTCTGCACGGTCGCTCTCCATCTGTTTGCATATTAGGGCCCGGCAGGAATTGGGCCGCTCACCAGCAGCCCCCCAATTCACAAGCAAAATTCGACACGCCAACGTACAACTGCGAGATGGCCGAATTCAGAGTCAGTCTGCTCACACTGCTATCTCTCGCCCCGCTGCTCATTCGGAACATAGCAACACCAGTCCGTCTACGTCCGCTGGGGCAGCGAGTGGAAAACGGGTACATACGTAGGAATCATGACGAAGACAACGAACATTAATGGCAAGGTAGGATGCGACGAAGTCCACACTCTACTGTGCCCCATACTCAACCTGTGCTCTCTGTTACAGAAAGTTAAGTCCACCATCGGCCATTATGTGACTGTCGTTATTGCTGGACGCTCGGCACCTCAGAAGGTTGCTGTCGGCCTGCGCGATGTGCGTGCCGTCTGATGTAAGACCTACTCAGTAAGATGGCCATCTTTACCAGTGCGCTGACCGATCCGTGATGGCTCTTCTCCAGGCGACCACTACTGCTACGCATGAGCATCATCACATAAGGAACCAAATATCGTAAAGTTTTCCCTGTTTCTCTGTCTAGGTTTAGTAGTGTAACAACGTCTTGCCCTGCATCTGAAAATTATTTCAAATCCTTGCGACTCCTTCCTTCTCCGTCTTTGATTATGTGCTCCCTCACGCTATCCGCCGATATCTCACACTTGCCTGACTCGTTCCGAACCCCTTTGTGGCTGGTCACTCCGGTTTTATCCGACTAAGATCGAACTCTGTGAACGTCGTGATTGGCTACTGAGTCGGAAGCTTAGGTAATCGTCGCCGCTTGACCGCTGCTCAGTGCTCACAGCTCAGGCTATATGTGCTCCTTATTCTCTTGATGGCCACATTATGATTACAAGCTTTGTTGGATTTCGGGAGCCGGTAGGAGAATGAGAGCTCGCGCCACGTCGCGCGCGTGCGGCCCCGACTCGGACTGATAAGGTGATAGATATATAAATCGAATGGTATACAAATATCAGATTTGTTGTTGCGAACGAAGCGAGGAATTCTTCACTAGGGATGAAGTCCGCGACAAACAAGTACAAGTTATACTCACGGTGGTTGAGGGAGAGGGGCCAACCAAGACTTTGAAGGGCCCGCTGTAAGTTGCTACAGTCCCTCTACTGACTTCGAATTGGACAGGAGAAGGATACAAAAATGTGTTACGCTCATTTTTTTGCTCCTGTTTAGCAAGAAACAGCCAGAAAGTCCAGTGACTTCAGCCCTAGGGACGCAAATCTACATGTTTCACCCCATAGACAGGATTGCTCGCCTATCTACTGGATATTGAGGTCTAGCCTACAACTGTGTCACAACATAGTGACGAGTCCCGCTGTGCCACGCCAAGCTTCGCGAAGAATACGGCGCGTGCGCACATCACTAGTATCTAGTACCGTACGCGATTGCCCTTCAGGCATTCGACCGCGCCCGGGCCACCTTGAAGCGCGCCCATCATCGATTATTTCACAGCCGTTTGCAGTTCGATGGGCCCATTTCTCGAAAATCATTTACAGTCGGACCATGTTGGAGAAGGAAATTCAAGTCCCCAAGACCCCAATATCAGACCACTTGGACTTCGTTTAATTTCTGGGACATCCGTGGCACCATGTCCGACACACTCCGACTATATGTGACTTTCTGACGTGACGGCCTATCGATCTGCAAACGGCTGCAAGAAGTTTAGTGGAACGACTCAGAGATGAGGCAGATTGAAGGAAGCAAATGTCGGTCACTGAACTGCACATGAAAGGACATGCAGATTATTGTTTGGACTCAATTCATCCCATCACATTCCTCACACGTGAAGCGTCCGCGCGCAACAACAAACCCGCCAACGCATGCAAAACATTACACCTGGCAAACCCGTCAAATCCTAACAAACCGTAAAGGCCTTGGCAGACTATCCTTACACTGGCAGTGGCATACAGCACAACTCCTACAACAACCCACCTTACAACTCACACCTTCTCCGCCGACCCCACACTCCGCTCACTCTCGCTCCGCGCATGGTCCATCACCACGGGCCTCTCCGCCTTCCCCTTCCCCCTGCCCCTCACCCGGCTCCCAAACGCCAGCACCCCCGCCCACATCAACAGCCCCACCGCAATCATCGCGACCGCCCCGCTCAGGCCCGCGCCGAGGAACCCCGCGCCGACGGGGCTGATCCTCTCGTGCGAGGTGGCCGACGAGGAGGACGCAGAGAAGTACGCTGCGCACCCCCGGTCGACCTGGTTCGAGCAGACGGTGCACCATTGCTCGGTGGTGTTCACCGCGGCGGGCTATCATCGCACCCATGCAGCATTTAGTGTTCGGTGACGAAAGAGGAGGAGAGGGGGACCCACCGCGAGGGTGTCGATGAACGTCTGCATGTCCACGTCCCCGCTCGCCCCGAGGAGGTTGTACGTCTCGAACTCCGCGTCGGTGCCATTCTTGAAGTTGAACCGCACCACGGGCTTCCCGCCCGTCGCCGGCTGGCGCACCTCGAGCGCGACCGCTGCCGAGTAGTCCACTACCCGGCACCCACCGCAGTCAGTCAACACATGCAGAGAGCTGAGCAGCGCGGGTACAGGACGCACCAATGCCCGCGAGCTGCGGGTACGTCTCCGCGACCCTCGTCATGTTGAAAAGGGAAAGGAACGGCTTGTACGCGATCGCGGTGTACACGAGCTTCGTCGGGTTGCTCGCGTTCGCGATGTTCTGCATGCCCTCGATGATCCCCGGGAGCATCGTCCGCGCCGCGACTGATAACACCAATTGCTCGTCAGCATTTATACGGAACGGGGAGGGGAGAGGGAAAGGATGAGGCAAGGAAATACGCACTGTTCCCGATCCCGTCGATCTGCGGCGACGAGAACACGCCGTACTCGTGGAAGTTCGCGAGGTCGCGCGCCTGGGCGAGGAACGTCGGCGGGAGCCGGCTCGCGAAGGAGGCGTTGTGGATCGAGTTGACGTTCATAAAGTCGAAGATCTAATCAACATACGCGCAACTCAGCCAGTCAGTCTTTCGTCCTGCGGGGAGGGGGCTGGGACGCACGTTCCACATGTTCGTGAGCGAGACGGAGCGCCCGTCCAGGTACTGCGGGAGCTGGCTGAGGAAGCTCGCGGCATCCTTTTGCTTTTGCTGGAAGATGGAGGAATTGTAAAAGGCTTCGGTGGCGTCATTGAAGGTCTGACAGGACAAATAGAGCACATGAAGAATCGAGAAAGACAGACGTATGGATCAATGCGCACGTTACAGTCTGTCCACCCTTCCAGGGATACATCCTCATTCGGCTCGACTGTCTGGACTGCACCATGTTCAGTTCCCGCTCACCTCGATAGTGTCCTCGACTTACCAGGGACGTACTGGTACCCTCCCAGCGGCGCGACAATCGTGGTGCCGTTCGCGAGTGTGGTGTTGTAGCTGCTCGTCGCGGGGAACAAGCCCTGGACGAGGCTGTTGGCCGAGTCAACGATGACGCCGCCCTCGCCGCCCGCATCGGCAGACACAGTGACCTGGTTCGAATTGAAGAGGCCCGTGGAGATGCCCTGGATGCACGAGGGCGAGGACTGGTTGATGTAGAGCGAGCGCAGGAGCTGGCCGAGCTGGTACTCTTGTTGCTGTATCGTGTATGCGAGTCAGCATTGCGGGGGACATGGATACAAGATACGCACGTTACCAAGAGGCGTTATAGCCGTCTGGGACGCGGTGTAAGTGTCCGGGTCCTGGTAGAAACCCTGGCGGTCGCCATGCCTGACGAGGAGGACAACACCGAGGACGTGGCTGTCGGACGCGGCCATGTCGGAGAGCGGGAGCGCGAGGAGGTGTGCGACGAGAGGCTCTTTATACGGGCCATGGCTGGACCGGCAGACATGGATTTGCCAGAAGCCAGAGGCAGACAGATCAGATAACTCGGTCAGCAGATAACGCGGCCCCTGCTGGTGGCGTCACAGCGCGTATCATCGCCTGCCTATTGCCTTTCAAGGAAGCCTTCTTGCCTCATTAGGGTCTTCGGAGGCTATTTTTGGCGTATGAGGATCGGCCCAGTGAGCACGAGTCTTCGCCCGTCCAATCAGCATCCAGCAAGTTGTGGCATGCATATTCCTGGACAGCGGGCGTTGCGTGGCTTTGCTGCTATTCTTGATATCAGACGAACCTTGTTTGGATTCGAAAAGGTTTATTCTAAAGACTGGACAAAGAGTGGCCTGACTTGACAGTGAGCATTTCGCCATTGACTTGACGGCCACCGTCATTACACGACACGAGCGTAGGCCAGCCGCACACGTTCTGTATGTACCTACGATGGCTCGTCCGATATTTCTCTCGCGTGCCTCGTCGTCTGCTCAGAGGTGAACAAGGGTCCCGGTAAGAGCCGGCTCGGACGCGCCGAATACACGGATACACAGCGGGCAAGGACCGGTGTCCCGCCACCGGTCATTCATCTTTCACGGCAAGGGGGGGAGAACACTTTCCTAGGATGCTCCGTATCAGAACATGATACAGACATAAAGAATGAAAGGACAATGCTAATCAAATGTCCCCTGATTTTTAGGGACCATAGTAAATGTCCCGCAGACCTTTCTTTGTTCACTCAAAGGACATTCTTCATGTCCAGCTTATGGTCCAGCAAGGACCATTCTAGGAAAGTGTTCTCCCATCAGGGAGATGTTCCTGGCATGCCCGCCGGCGGGACATCGGTCTCTGCCCGCAGTGATATTGGGAGGTGGATAGCCACCCTTGACCGCATTCACCTGCGACTTAACCAGGTGGTATCTCCCAGTTGCCGTTCCACAGGTGCTGTGCTGCACTGCTGACTGACGATCCTTGCCTGCGGGTTATCGGTATGATTTGATGGCGCCGACATGCTCAGACGCTGTGGTGCCACACATTGACCGCATGTTCAGTGCTTTCACCGCTCGCCTGGCACCCTTTGTGGACGCAGCTTATTAGGCAATGGGTCCTGGATTGCTCATAAATGTCTTTGCAGATGTGGAAGGAAAGGCGGCTGGTTTCACACGAGAATATCAGCCTTCAAAAGCTGCACACCTTGCTTCCCAGGCTCAGCTATTACATATGGCCTTCACCTATTGCAAGGACTTGGATATGGGTCTAGGCCTGCTGGGAAACCTATGTAAGGCCATTGAGCTAATGGAGGAAGCAAGAGGGCTTATTGCAGAGAGCCATCCTGACTACTCAGAATATACAGCAACCCTTGCCATGTGGAATATTGAATTGGCCACTCTTGCAGCTGCTAGAGGATCATACTTTTGAAGATGCAGTTTCATGTGCTATAGAGTTCTTCAAGAGCTCTATTTCCTCCACTTCAATGTCTCCCCTCCACAAACTGGCAGCTGCAGCTGCTGTTGTTGAACTCACCCATTTCACTGCAGATTACTCACTTGCTTACAAGACATGTGCTGGGGCTATGGAGTTACTCCCACAAGCAATTCCATTCAGCACACATATCTCAGATTGGCATCACCAGCTGCAAGTGATTTCACCCTTGTCCTTCAGCAGTGATGCTGCAACTATAGCTATCATCAAGCAAGAGTATGCAGTTGCATTGGAGTGGTTAGAACAGACTCGATCCCTTGCATGGTCTCAAGTTCTGCAACTCCAGATGCCCTTAGATAACCTAGCTCAAGTTCATCCTGAGCTTGCAATCCAACTCTCAGAGACAGCTCACCAATTGGAAGTCATCATTCATATGAAAAACCCCTGCATGATAATGAAGGTCCCTCTGCTGAGCATGTTCTTCAAGCGTACCACAGCCTAGCCAATAAATGGGAGCATCTTGTCACTCAAGTCAGGGAGATGCCTGGCTTTGGAAGATTTCTGTCACCAAGGACTCTCAGAACTTCTGGAAGCAGCAAAAAATGGGCATATTATCACCCTGAATTCAAATCCAGATCGATGTGATGCACATATCATATTGCCTGGTTCAACCAGAGTTGTCCATGTACCACTTTCAGAAATCTCCTCTGATGAAGTGGAGAGTCTGAGGTCACACATGGAGAGCCTTCTGTCACACAATGGCCATACTATATCTGGAAGTTGGGAGATAGCAGAAGAGTCCAACAAGGAAGACACACAAATAGGTGGGGCACAGCCTTCTATGACTTGATCCTTGAGAGACTTCATGCACCACAACATGCTTGCAGCTGATACGCATCCAAGACATTACAAGCCTGCTATTCCAACTGCTCAGTGGATTGATGAACAACTAGTACTGGAGGATATCCTTGCAACCCTCTGGTGCAAGGTGGTGAAACCAGTCTTTGATGCCTTATCTCTGATGGTGAGCATTGCATGTTATTTCAGGATCTTCTGCTCACAATAGTGTTTATTGATCGCCTGCTTACAATGATACCCTGCCACATATCTTCTGGTGCCCAACTGGGTCATTCATGTTACTGCCAATCCATGCTGCAGGAAGATACAACATAAGTGAACATGGGCACAAGCTCTCTGATTTTTGCATTCCATCCTATACACCTACAATTGGTGCACTTCTGCCACAGTCTGTCGGAAATTCCGAAAAAACCTTATCGGACGTTGTAAGAACTTATCAGGTCCAATAAGGCCATCAGGTCGTTAATACCCATATTAGGTTCGAAAATATGGAATAACGCGCTACCAGCCTGATGGAGCCTGATCAGCCTGACGCTACCTGATCAGGTCTTATGGAACCTTATAGGGTTTTCCATGAATAATAATAAAAATCTCACTTCGCTTCTGCCTTCATTGTTCCCCCCCACTCAGCTGATTTTGTAGTCTCTCTTGATCCAATTAACATCTTAGGGAACCTGAGTGCACTGGTCAGGTTCGAACACAGGGCCGCCAAGTCGACAGAGAATTAGGTCGCGCGAGTTAACTACTATACTAAATGTGCATTACTATGTGGGAAACAAATCGTGCTATATACCATCATCTGGTTCCTTCTGTGTGTATGGGGCATATGCAACACCACTTCATTATTATAATCCCGCAGTACGAGGGCATTGTGGTAATGCACTGAATTCACAGTTGCATAGTACTTACTTACTTTAAGCGCAAGGTACTAAAAACATGTATACGAGACCGGAAACACTGTCACATCTTATCGGGCCTGATAAGTCCTGACCAGGATAGAAACCAAACCCTATCAGGCATTATAAGACCATCAGGCTTTGTCAGACCTGATATGGGTTTTTGGATTTTTCCGACAGGAGCAAATGCACAAGATGCTGGGTGTTGGTGTACCAAGACACTTCCATGGGGCCTAATGCTACAGCAGACAATGACAATGTCAAGGCAGCCTTGTGTAGCCACACTTGAGTCCACTTTGCTTGCCATGGAGTTCAGAACATGCAGAATCCTCTGTCAAGTGCACTTATTTTATCCAATGCAGAGCACCTCAAACTATCTGATATCATCCAAACTTCTCAAGTTCCTAGAGGGCTTGCTTCTCTATCTGCATGCCAGACTGCAAAGGGAACAAGAGATTTGGGATATGAAGCAATCCACTTGGCAGCAGGCATGCAATTAGCTGGGTATCAATCTGTCATTGCAACAATGTGGTCCATCAGTGATGTGCCGGTCGACGACTAGTCGACCGGCACATCACTGTGGTCCATTCAAGACTCAGATGTTGCGGCTGATGTATACAAGGAACTTTTCTCATATCCCAAGCCTGATCACACTCAATCTGCAAGAGCACTGCACAATGCAGTGGGAAATCTACGGAAGAAATACATTGGAAAATCATACTTGTCTTGGGTGCCTTTCATATCATCTTGTGTGCTCTTTGTATTGTAGATGTACTTATCAGCACACTTAGACCAGTCTCCTGAATCAGCAGTTAATGTGGTCAGTCTGCTCTGAGGATGTAAACTGCTTTGAGGCAGATGATCCTCAAACAAGGTCCCTCGAGGTACATTATCTCAAAACACATGAGCATGAGAAGCCGGTGGTGTCATAAACTTAGAATCCAAGTCCTTTCTTGAATAATCATGTGGAGTCAAACGCTCAGCACATGGTAGTCACAATTATGGTTTATCAACTTCAACTTCCCCCTACACTTTCCATGGTCTGATGAAATATCAGCGGCACATATCAGACCTTGAGTCAAGAACACTTACAAAGGCTGACGCGGTCGGCCCATCTAATATAGATAACTCCTCTTGTGTGAAAGGTAAGCTCGGGACCACCAAAGTCCGCAGAGGCACAAGCAAGAAAATCAACACGGGGAATCCAATAGCAGCTACATGATGTGGTTGATACGCGAGCACGCGGGATCCAACAAATGGGCACGCACCAATAGTCTGAGTAATCGCAAACGTAGCCCCGAACCCAAACAGCTGCACGGCCAGGAACATCACGATCCGACTCTTCCTCACGCGATTCAGCGGCTCGCTCTTCGATATCAACTTCCTATCCCGAAACAGAAAAAGTATCTTTTGCGTGATCCCGTTCCCGATGAGGGCGTCAAGGCCCATGTACCAGCTGTATCCGTCTATCAATCACGGAATGCGAGATTGATTCGAAGGAGCTCTCACAACAATCCCGCGAGCACCCCCCTCGGGATCAAGCCCAGGACATGCAAGAACGGCCCGCTCAACAGCACCAAGCACAAGCTCCCCTGCGCGAGATTCGACACGCGCTGCTCGACGACGCCCACGGGCACCTCGTGCACCAGGGGCGACGGATCCGGCTCGGGCTCGCCCTCCACTTCCGCGTCGTTGTCCCCGTCGCGACTGGGCGTGCGCGTGCGGTCCGGGTCCGGGTCCGGCTCTCGCTCTCGCTCTTCAGGGTCGTCTTTTGATTTGAACGGGCGGCCCATGACGAGGAGCGAGGTGGTGTGGATTGGGGCCTGCGGGATCAGACCGTTCGGCGCGGGAATGCCGAGGAGACCTGCGATGAAGGTGGTGATGCCGAGCAAGAAGAAGTCATAGTGGAAGCCAGGTGGCTTCCTGAGCGGGAACTGAGAGCCTTGGGCAATGAGGGACTATCGAAATCCAAGCCGATGAGCGACCTTGAACAATGCTATGGGCGTAGTGGAAGACTCACCGAGACATTATGATCGAAAAAGAACAACACCCACAGGACCACGCCGAACGGCAACGCGATGCCCACCCACTTGCCCTCCAAATCCCAGAAGCGCACCAGCCACTCTCTCCCACCCGCGGGGGTGAACGCGCCGCCGGTGAGAAGCGTCTCGGGGTTCGCGCGGTTGAACCGCCCCCAGTACGCCATCCCGCTCGCCGCGACAAGGCTGATCGGCATCCCGTAGTCGGCGAAGAACCGCCGGACGTGCCGGTGGAAGAGACTCGTCCGCGAGAGCGCTTGGAACAGGAACGAGGCTGTGAGCATGAGCAGCGCGAGGATGATCGAGGTAAGGTACGACTCAGGCGAGGAAGAGGAGAATTGGCGGGTGATCACTTGAATACCGTATTGCAGGTACACCCAGGCAACGTAGAAACCGAATGTGTCGCACGAGAAGAGGGTAACGTATTTCAGGAAGTTGCAGACTATACGGCTGGTTAGTGCGGGGAAAGCGCACAAGTGGGCGTTTTGCCTACAATTAAGCGCTGCTGTGATCCAGTGCAGGATGGCTCCCCATAGGTAGACCCAGCCCACGAAGTGGAGGTAGTTGGGGGGATTGGACCCGCGCTGGGTGATATCGTAGATGGTCTGGTTGAGCACCGTAATCGGTCCTGCGTTCATGATCAGCATCCGCAGATAGCTCTCATCGACTCTGCTGAGCTGGCTGAAGCTGCACACCAGTTACGCCTGCTATGCAGAGCGGTTGGGCTCCGAAGATGGAGAAGATGAACGCTGCCATGAACGAGGACAGCAGGACCTCGGCCACGCCGTATTGGTTCGTGCGCTCTATGAGGTCTAGAGAGAAGGCGATGCCGGGGAGGACGCTGACCATGAGAAGTTACTAGATAATTCAGCTTGCCATTGTCGGGAAACTCACTTCGCGAAGAATATCAGGACTATAGACGGTATAACACGATAATTGTAGGCATCCTTCCAGTCACTCCAGTACCAGGGCAGGCGTGCTCTGACGTCCTGTAGTATACCGGAGCCAATTCCAAACAGAAACGGCGACCGTCCGGGAGTAGATGTGAACGTCGATGGTGCAGCAGAAGACACAACATTTCCTTGGTTAGACTTCTCGTTTACAGGCTGGGCAGCACTGCGGTCAAGGCTGTACGAGCGCAGTAATTTGTGAGACCCCTCTCTATCAGATGGCGACGCTGGTGCTTGTCTATTCCTCGTCAAGATGTCGTTAGACATGGTGCAAGTCGTAACAGGCTACCATCAGAACATGAGAGACGGAATAATCTGGGGAGCGGTGCGTAGAAGACATCGGCAAATTGAAAGCGAGTCTCCCATTGGACCCACAACCTCCCACAACTGCTATTTGCGCTGCCACACACGTGCTTTCTTACATTTTATTTCTTTGTGGCACTTTCTAGCACTCCCTGTCTGTGCAACTGGGCTGGGCTGGCAGAGATGGCGTCGACATCAAAAGCTACTCTATCTTCATCGGCTTTCGACGAATACAATCTACAACTGCAGGCAACGGCGCTGAAAGCTACGAAACTCGCCGCCGCACTCCCGTCCGACGTCTCTTTCCACCGATCCATAGACTCAGAGTTTGCAAACGACTTGGATATCTGCTCGGCAAAAGTACTATCTCTCACCAATGCCCTGCTCAATATGGCCTCATATGGGGAGAGCTCAAAAGCTGGGGGATCACGGGGGAAGGGCAAGCTAAAGTTGGAGAGCCAGGACGATGTGGTGGACAGCTTCGACTCGCTAGTGGTGGACGCTATGGACCACCTGCTTGAACGTGCTGTAAGATACCATGTAAGTTACCGAGAATAATAAAATGATCGAATATACATGTAGGACATGAGCCTGGACCAATATTTGGGTCGTATCAAAGCGCCAGCTATTGCAGTGAACGCTCCCAAGCCTACAGCCCAGAAGGTACAGACACACGGAGTAACTTTCTGGATTGTCCTAACATATGTAACCCTTCAGAAACCGAATGCGCCTCGTGGACGGCTTGACCCCACATTACAGCACGCGTCGCACCTCCCTAAGCCGCAGCTGAAGTTCAGACCGCCACCGTCAAATGTCAACGGAGATGTTTGGCGTCCCCGGCTGAAGCACAAGTACAACGCGCAAGTTCCCCTTGGCTACGTGTTCCGCGACGAGTCCGAGCCCGACGCCGCGCCCTCCCTGCACCCCTACCACTATGAAATCACCCACCTCTCCTATCCACCCCATGAGCTCACCCCTACCGAATCACCGGTGCCCCCTTCGTCGTTCGATGATACCCCATTCACCTACGTGTCTACCGCGGAACAGTTCCAGGCCATGCTGGCGAAGCTCTCGGATAGACGGAAGGTAAAAGAGATTGCAGTGGACTTGGAGTATCATAACTACAGGAGCTTTGCTGGGTTCGTGTGTCTGATGCAGATCAGCACGCGGGAGGAAGACTTTGTGGTGGACTGCCTCGAGCCCAGTATAAGAGAAGAGATGGAGTCGCTGAATGAAGTCTTCACCGATGCGCAGGTAGTCAAAGTGAGTATGTTTCCCGCTACATTATACCAGTAACCGATTGCGGTACCCCTAGGTATTCCACGGCGCCGAAAGCGACATTATCTGGCTCCAGCAGAACTTCAACGTCTACGTCGTCAACCTCTTCGACACCTTCCACGCGTCGAAGGTACTAGGTACGCAGCGTCTCCTCTATTCACCTGCCCTGACCTGACATACCTTGCAGACTTCCCGCGGCATGGTCTTGCCAGCCTGCTCGAGATGTACTGTGACTTCATCCCGGACAAGCGGTATCAGCTCGCGGACTGGCGCATCCGCCCGCTCCCGCAGGAGATGCTCGCTTATGCGCGCTCAGACACGCACTACCTGCTCTTCATCTACGACAACCTGCGCAACGCGCTCCTCGACCGCTCGCAGTCTGCTGCAAATTCTCGGGCGCCGTCTCCCTCTGGCTCCCCGCCGCCTGCGAGAGACGCGTTCCTGCGCGAGGTGCTGCGCCGCTCGGAGGAGACGTCCCTGAGATTGTACGAGAGCGAGGTGTACGACCAGGAAGAGGGGAGCGGGCCGGGCGGGTGGGACACGCTCGCGCGGAAGTGGAACAAGGTCGGCTTGAGCAGGGACGCCTGGATAAGCAGCAGCGACGGCCTCGGGAGCAGCGTTGAGCGGATGAAGAGGGGGGTGTACAGGTTTGTGCATGGCTGGCGGGACCGCGTGGCGCGGGAGGAGGATGAGAGTACGAGGTGTGCTTGCAATTCATTCCCAGGCACGACTCTCGAATGTGATTAACGCAATGCGGCCTTCAGATATGTCCTTCCGAATCACTATATCTTTCAGCTCGCGGAGAAGCCCCCGGCGGATATGGCGGCTCTCTTGGGCTCCTTCCAGCCTGTCCCGCCGGTAATTCGGCGGAGAGCGAAGGAACTTTTGGACGGTATCAAGGAAGTCGTGAAGGAGGCGCTCGGCACGTCAGCCGCGAAACCTGCAGCAGTAGTCACAGCAGATGAGTCTGGGGCCACTGCAAGTGCGAAACGTGACGAGGACGATAAGATGGTAGGCATCGAGGAAACCACTGCTCCTGAACCCTCACAAGCTGGGCCCTCCAGGCTATGGTCAACAAGTAAGCAGGGTTATCTTCTTCGTTGCTCTTATGCTGACGATAATACAGCTCCCACCTCGAGCGTCAATAAAGCGGCGTCGTCTTCGTTGTTTGGCACAGCTTCAGCACCGTCTATGGTTGTATCTGCTCGGTATGCGGCTGCTCGGAGCTCCTTGTTTGGCACAAACAATAGTACACCAGCAGTAAGCATTTCCAGATGCCAAAGGCGCGAATTTCAATAACGCATCCGCTTCTCAGTCTAACACTGGACCTGCTGCCTTACGTGATCGGTTCCTCGAAGTCGTATCTCGCATCCACAGCACGCTATCGATAGCACCTTCCGTACCCACCGTGAGTTCCGGCTACGCAATCTTTTAAAGAGGTTCATCACACTCACCGTTTCATCCAGACCTTGGTGAATGATGATAAGCAAGAGGTGTCCGACCCTGCCCCAGCGGCAGCCTCAGAACCTACACCTTCAGTCACAGGCCAGCCAGCGGAGATACCATTCGTCCCACCCTCGCAATGCCAATCCAAACCATCCACAGGGATTGAAGACGACACAATCGTCGTGGTGGGACAAGCGCGGCAGAAGAAACGCAAGCGGTCGGACAAGCCGAAGAAGGAGAAGGCCAAGGCTGCGGAGGGCGAGGCGGACGCTGAGGTGGAGCCCTTCGATTATTCCACGGTGTCGAATATCTTGGACGACGCGCCTGAGCCTGAGCCTGATGTGAGGGAGCCGGCAGGGAAGAAAAAGAGGAAGCAAAAAGGTTGGTATTTTTGCATTGTGCTCTGCGAAAGAGCTAATGCGTACTCGGTCAGGTGAACCAGCGTATACGTATGGGAATTTCCCTGCGCCTCCAAGAGCCCATCGGGAAGTGAAGAACGGAAATCAGTCCCTGACATTCAAGTAGACGGGGCAATACATATTCATCTTCACTGGCAGTGATATAGGACAACATCTGTAACCAGATACTCTTATTATACGATGAGGCTGCATGCAGGCGACTTGCGATCTTGCCATGAATACCGCATGCATTATTGAAACCTGCCCTTTATAATACAGAAACTAAGGTGTATATGCTACAGATCGTTCATATGCCATGATATCTAAAAAAATGCATGAATCTCGTGCGTCGCGACTCTCAGAAATATCGTCATCTCCATTCATGGTCACCTTCGTCCGCGTCGTCGTAGTCGGAATAGACGTCTGAATTCGCCTCGTGGAACATATCTAACGGAGTCTCAGATCCGTTCGCTAGGATGACATTGCCAACGGATTTTAACTTACCGCTGCCGTCTGATGCAGACTCTTCTTCGTCTGGATAGTCGTTCTTGTAGTAGTCCTCTGCTATAGTCAAAATGAGTAGGCGTTGAGCTCGGTGAACCGGAACTGCAGCGAGCTTACCGTTCGAATCCTCATCGTCCTCGTCCTCGGGCTCAGCGTCGGAGTCCGACTCATTAGGGTCGTTCAACGAGGGTGGCAGACCAATTCTGTTCCATAGCAGGTCAGACGTGTATCACCAGCGATCATCTCCCGCAACATACAGAGTCCCGTAATTCGCAATCTTGTTCCACTCGTTCTGCGTGATCGCACGCCGGTAGAAGACGTCCCACACGTAATCGCCGTCCTCCTGATGGTCCGCCGACGCTGAGCGGGCGAGAGTACCGCCGCTGGCGCTAGCGGGTACTGCACCGGGGGCACTAGTTGCCGATGCCTCTGCGTTATGATCGGCTAGGGATATCTCGTGGACTTCACTCAGAGATCATCCCATGCGCGTGTGAGATACTGTACGGTAGGGGTCAACGGTTAGTGCGAACAACACACCTTTGAGGTAATCTTGCAACATGGGCAGGAAATTGTCCATCTCCGAGTCTGCAGCTACGATGGAGGGCTCGGAAGGTACCGCGTCCAATAGCGTAAAATTGGGCGTCGCATTCCGGAGCTCCTTGTGCGGGATCACTCGCGGTCTTCGGAGGATACATCAATGCAAGAGAACACAGACGACGTGGCTAGAGGACGTACGGAGCAGTCGGGTATGCGAGCTTCGGTTCTTCCTTGGGTAGATCCTTCTGCACAATCGTGTACCGAGGGTTGGTGCTCTGCTGCCGCGAGATCTGGCCAGGCGGTGTGGCAAGAGCAGGTGGCGCGGGACGTTCGTCCACTGGCAGTTGGGCAAGGGCGGTTATGCGGTCCTGATTACAATCGAATGTTTATATCAGCAGTCACAAGAGTTCACAGCGCTTACTTGCAATGCTTTCTGCCGCTGCTGGTCCTCCCATGCGTTCCCCTCGACGGTCTCGGCGAACTGAAACAGGTCAACACCGGCTCGGGATTTCTTGCGGCGGTTTTTTGATTCCACCACTGAAAACAGAGTGAGTAAGAATAAAACCAATCCATTCCGTAAACTGGACTTGAAGGAGCTGAATGTATAGGAACTTCAGCACCTACCGAGAGCGTCCAGCGGTTCCTCATTCCGTTTGCGCTTGATGCGAAGGATGGTATAAGACGGAGATTCCGTCATTTCAGAGTCGATATCCATTGCTAATTGTTCTTCTCTTCAGATTCAATCAGTTCTCGGGGCCCGTTTTAACTGCAAAGTCGACTTCAGTCGAAGAGCCTGGCGTGGTGGTGGCAGACTGAGACGCGACTGGCCACGTGATGGCTACATCTGAATCAACGCCACAGTTCCATTCGCGCGATCCATAGTCTGCAGACTCAAGAGATTCATGCCTCCTCAGGCTCCTGAGGCCTGCACGGTTCCTTTTCTCGACGCTTTCGCAGTATGTATGCTAGCTTGAAATATGATTCCAGTGCGCCGTCAAGCCGAACGTTTCTAGTTCGCTGAAGATTGCGTATCCGATCCCGGCTGGAAGACTGACTGGTGCAGCTGCAGGTGCCATTAGCGCCGCAGTACCCGCTCACAGTCCGGAAACAAGATCAGTATACTTCGTGCGTCATGTAAGTGTATATCTTCGCAACTCTGGGTTTCCTCTCTACTCGGAAAAGATCAAGCGGGTAGGTAACATCGTTATTGACTGTCGAATATTGTCCTGAACGTCATGTGAGGTGTACAGTTCAGCATGAGAGTTCTAGACCCTCCCTATAAGATGGGCCCGTCCGCAAATGGCGCAGAATACGTACTCGACAATGACCTTGCGCCATCAAACAACTACAGGCTTTCTTCCCAATTCCTTCCGAGACTTCCTCGCTCTCAGCGCGCTCCCTTTCTCTCGCACCCTCCCGCAGCTCCTCACGCTCAAGCTGCGCGACCGACAGGGACTCAAGACGAAGTCACCCGATATCATTGGAGATTGTGGTAAACCTCTTCAAAGCTAAAGCGTGTACGCTACCACAACCACTTCATTGACGCTAAGCGGACTCGCAGACGGTGCGACTCGTGAGATGTCTTCTGTTGACGGGGCTTGGATCTTCGCGGCATGGACGTGACCTACAGAACTCTCGACATTGCATCATGGATGGATGGCTCAATCTCAGTGGATGCGATCGCCCTCCGACGGCTCGGTTGCTTTCGCAGAGCTCGTCGACCTCCGCCTTCAGCAGAGCTCCGGCCGCACTTATGCGGTATTCCCCTCTGATGCGCACGTTGGGGAGCCGACAGACATCATGTTCTTGGAATGGTGCCGTGCTATCCACCGCCTTGCGTGGATTATCAATCCTCGGCCTTTCTTCCAGGCAGGTCGTAGCCTTGCTCATGAATTATGATAGCTTGCTGTTTACCGCTGCCGTCTAGGCTGTGCTGAGGGCGGGCTTGAACCGTGAATCCGTGGCATCATTGATCTAACCATAGTACGATGCTAACTTTGATGTCACCTCCGGCGCACTTAGTCCGCTTCTCTCTGGAGTTCAAGCTGAGTTGTCTTCTATCAACTACGAGCTGAAGATAGAAGAACTGCCGCCCTTCACCGAAGCGTACCCTCGCCTGGGCCTCGAGAAGGCCAGCGATCCCTTCACCCCTTGTCCGCCCTTGAAGAATTGGGAGCCAGACCCGAAATCCATCCCGCACTCAAACGCGGGGCCCATTGGTAGGTGGAACAAGAGTCGCGCTGTTTGCACCCAGGTGTCCGGAGCTTCCGCCTGTTCCCTGCCCCGGAAATATTCTGGAAGCGCCGAAGCGGACCAAAGTCAATGCTATCATCTGTGTGCTGACTTTGCTTGAGGTGAGGTTTATTTCCATCGGGGCAATGCCATAAGTTACGGATGCAATATAGTTATGGTCAGAATCCGAAAATGCTGTGGAATTCTTGGCCCCTATGGAGATAGTGGTAAGCCTCCAACACATCAATCACGACCTTTCATACTGCTGAAATCACTGGATAGCTCTTCGGCAGCAGCGTCCGCCCAAGGCCCGGCTACGGCGGGACCGAATTCGGCGGCGTCGCGGACTTCACGCTGCCGGAAGTTGTACGCGTACCGAGTGGGAGCACCTCGCCTTCGACCCAAGGTACAGAGTACGCATGGAGCCGCAGGGATGGGAAACATGAGCTGCATGTCCTGGTGCGGAGACGCTCGGTTACGCTGTCGCGGATGCTCGCTGAGCAAGATTTGGAATGGTAGGAGTGCGAGGCTCACTCCCTTTTGATTCACAACCGGCCGGATGCAGCAGGGTATGCGTCCTCTGAGTCGTCCGTGAGTACGTCGCAAGGATGGTCGCGGGAGAAGGGGTCGTTCCCGGAGGAATTGGGCCTCCCTTTGGACGTGGCAGTAGGAGATGGATACGGGGAGAGTGAATTCGTCTCCGAACAGGTGAGTTATATCGAGATAGGCACGTTGATCAGACCTTCTTGATGTGACCGTCGATGCAGCTACTTGTGAAGGCGGCGGAAAGCGGAACGGAGACGACCTCCTTTAGGATTGGCCAAATCTGCGGTGGGACGCCACACGGCGCCTGGGCTACCACGGATTAGGTACCTATCTTCGTCCAGTCAAGCAAGTCTCTAGGGTACCTGCCGGATGCCCAGGGTGTAAGCTGCTAGCTACATCTTTACATGAATATCATTAATGCGAAATGATTTTAGGTGGCGACGTGGCTCACCTCGAAAGTGGTGGCGCAAACCGTCCTCGATGTCACAATTGCACGGGGGCATCCTCGTTCTGCCCTTAACGTAGTACACCCGTGGCCAGTGTCGTGGGCACGCATCATGTCTGGGATCAGCTCTGCTATTCTGAAGAACGTGGTGATGACGGACAACCTCTGCCGTCCTTGCCGTTCAAGCAATGGATAGCGCTCCTCGAAAATAAGGTTAAGGGTGCCACAGAAGCTGATATACGAGAGATTGTGAGTTCACATCTGCGACTGAAGTCTCCATCATTGACGACTGTTGTGCGACTAGCCGGCTATCAAACTCCTGCAATTCTTGCAAGTCATGGCTTCTGCGGACGAGGCGATACGCTCTTCCGGAAGAGCTAATCTAGAAGCAGGGGGGACGCCGTTGTTCTCCGCTTGCAAGGCTCAAACCATTAGCCGCACCCTGCGAGATGGCGCCTCAGATTGGTGTAGATGAAGCAGAGCGGTGGATCCGATACTGGCTTAAGAAGGGCCTTTTTGACTGAGTCTCCTGAATAGAATTATGCGCTGAACACTAATAAGGACCGTGTTAATCTTCAGGACTTGCTATGCATGCGGTTATAGCGTCCCCCTGGTGTAGTGATGTATCCTCTGACACCGACGAAGTACGGGCGCCAAAGGTAAACAGGGTCTGCGGTCAGTCCGCGACCCCTGGGAAACCGTATATCACGTTTCAATGCCGCTGTAAGTCCTAACGTCGCTTTTCCGTGGCACTTGTTTGTGTGCTTTGTCCCGGACTGGCACTCTACCCCTGGAGCCAAAAGTACATTGCATGGAAAATGACATTCGTGAGAGGTGCAATGTAATTTTGGCCCCAGAAAAGATCGGGTCATTCTGACCTGGGCCGCAGATCCCAGTGGTATTTTGAGATGAGATCAAGATGGTCGGCAATGGACGCTCGAGTTGTGCATGAGCCGCGGATGTCCTCCTTGCTCTCTCCTGTATGTACTTTTACTGCCCTTCTCAGATTTTGCGGAATGTCCCTAGGCTGCTCCTCGAATTCGGAAGCCTGTCGAAGATACCGACCAGAAGTTGTGACACCACCGCATCCACCTCCGTAATACGTGCCCATACCAGTGGCCGCGTTGAGGAGGCAGACTTTAATATTGAACACGTAGCCGTTGATGACGATCCTCGCGAGTGGTCCACAGCTCGTAAAGTAAGTAGTCCCTCAATGCATAGGCACCGTCACAGTCGTTCACAGCGAGTCTCTAGACCGTCACCTTACTTATTATATCGGCAGGATCACTGCTGGCTGGTCTCGGAGCCATCATATACAATCGTAAGGAGCCACTGACACCCTAACCATCATGGTCGATCTCAAATTCCGAGTCCCAGCGGCTATCCACGACATACAGCTGGATTTGAACGCCACTAATGCCGAAATCAGCCTCAGTATATCTCTTTTTGCTTTATTGCAGGGTACCATGCCCTTCGTGTGGAGTGCGACCAGCGAAGTCAAAGGCAGAAAGGTACGCTAGCACAATAATAATGTTTGCACTTCCGTCTCTGAAGCACCTCTCCAGGTCGTCTACATATGCTCAATATTCTTATACGCAATTGGATCCATCTGTATCGCTACTGCCAGGAGCATTGCAGAGGTGATAGGGATGCGGTGTTTACAGGCAGCAGGGCACGTTACCTCCACACGTTATTCCCGCTAGCCTTACTAAACGATTCTCGAGCTAGCTCGAGCGCCGTGATAACCATTGGAGCCGCAACTTTGGCTGACATTTATAACCCGCATGAGCGAGGGACCATGATGGGGATATACTACACCGGCCCTCTTCTAGGGCCGTCCTTGGGACTTATCATCGGTGGTGGACTCACTGAGGCACTTAGTTGGAAAGCACCATTCTGGGCATTGACGATCATCAGCGGTCTAGTCTTGGTGTCATTTTTACTATTCTTCAAGGATACCTTCAGGAGAGAACGGAGTCTCGCTTTCCAGGACACCTTGAAACAAAGGACACCTCGGAATGGCGAGTCGGCGATCGCAGACGCGCCAGATCAAACCCTCACAGATGCAGGCGATCGGAACAATCTAACTGAGAAGCCCAGCGGCAAGGCCGAGGAACCCTATCACCCTTCTAGTATCAGTGTTGTTGCCGAAGCGTCTCCTTCTCTGCTGCCTACTCTTCCCAAGGATGGAATCAAGTTGAGGATCACTGATGTGAATCTGTTCCGTCCGATATGGCTCGTCCTTCGGCGCTGGAATAATTTCGCAACTCTGATTGCTTCTGGTGAGTCATCTGTGCTTCAAATTATCAACAATAAACCCTTACCCATCTCTTTCAGCCATCTTATTTGCATTCACTTACTGTGTAGCATACACCGCTTCCAGGACTCTGGCGTCTGCATACGGATATGATGCTCTAAATATAGGACTTGTATTGCTTTCTTATGGCGGAGGTCTGTCATACACTATGGATGACTTGGCGCCATTGCTTATCATCTTTCCCTAGGTAGTATTGTCGGGAGTATCCTTGGCGGCAGATGGTCGGATCGGGTGCTCGGGCGTCTGAAATCTTCTAGTGGTGGATGCAGCTATCCCGAGGTAACGCTCAATTTGTATATTCAATACCCACTACTTCCTCTTTTGCAGATGCGTCTGCAGAGTACCAAGCCTGCAATGACCTTGCTGCCAGCCTCTATCACTGCCTATGGGTGGTTTGCAGAGAAACATATTCATGTTGCCAGCATATGTGTTGCTTTGTTCTTCGTAGGACTCAGTTGCACGTGAGTCTCTGGATGTACCATCTGACGTCGAATCATGTGCTCAGGCCTGAAGTTGACAGTTGGATATATTCAAGCACTATCGCGTATATTGTGGACGCCAATGCTGGTCGATCTTCAACTGCAGTGGCGTGCAACAGCTTGTTTCGCGGTGTCCTCGCTTTCATCGCGACTGAGGTAGCTGTACCCCTGGTACGTGCGATATCTTGGCATAAGGGCGGTGGATCTCATTGAATAAGTTAGAGTGACGCAATAGGTGAAGGGGGACTGTATACCATTTGGGCAGGATTGGCCATTGTAACGGAATTGCTCATCCTGTTGGTAGCGTGGAAGGGATCGCAATGGAGGGAGAGGTCAGAAGCTTCGGAAAGGGCAGCAGCAGGGTAGGACATCATCTATTTCCTTCTTGATGAGACTCATAGTACGACGCTCTACTTCCTGAACTGATCCTCGTCGCGTGAAAATAGACGGGCACTCTGTGGCATCTATGTTTACCAATCTTGTTGATTAGACGATTCGTTGCAACTTGCAGGATTGCTTTGCCATGCCTCACAGGTGCAGGCCTATAATTAGGGCGTTTCTGCGAAACGTACTTTAAATTTCGCGTCCCGTGAAGCACGCATGTCTGAAATGTGGTGTATGAACCTCAAACCATCTGACTCTGTGGCGCTCCTCCGGTGTGTCCCGTAGAGGCAGCATTTCGAGAGACATCAGCCGAATTGGTGGCCTCTGAGTAGGGAAACTCACTCAGCGCGTCGGAGCGGGGACGTACATGAATTTCAGCTTCTTACATGCTGCTTGGCCATCATGACTCGACTTTCGATTCCTTGCATATAGTTTGAGAATCACTGCAGACGGTCTAGGCCGTCCGCCATGCATCTATGCAAAGTGCTAGAGGCTGAAGTGGTCAGTAACGCGGATCTCACTCCGCTTCCTGAGTATGAAGATATTAAATCAAACGAGCAAGCTTGAAGCTCCAGAGCATCAGCAGGAGACGTGTATGCCTGGCTTTCGGCGATGATCCATTCAAACAGTAACTAAAGGTGGCCACCTTGAGCCGCATGTTACAGTTGGTGCCATCGCTGACATGCACCGCGAGTGATAGCCTGTGGTAGGCACTGGTGGCCTCAAGCTCAATGTTAGATTCTGAGTAGCCTTCGGCCCGAGGCGATTCGTGTTTAATGCCGAACTAAGCCGACGTGCTTCTATTGTGGCCATCATTCCCACGGATTGCCTTCCTTCTCTCCGTGCCGAATGCACGGCAACCTCGCTCGCCGAATGCCCACATAGATTGTGCATTATGTTATCTATAATAACCGCTGCTGTTCTCTCCAGTCACATCCGCTGGGACAACGCTCGTACGACCTCACGAATACTTACGACATTTTCTGAGAATTTATCATGGCCACGGTCGAGGCACAAGACACAATCGTGACTCAGAATCTGGAGTCTCCTGCAAAGATGGTACCTCCACCCGAGGTTGCATGCGCAGAACCCGAGACGCTGGCAAAGCCTGACATAGAGCATGCATTCGTTGAGAATGATCCCCGGAAGTGGTCGACAGCACGAAAGGTACTTTAAATTCGATCGTTCTACGCCAAGGATTGGTGAATGCTGATGCGACGCCTGTAGACTACCATCCTCATAATTATATCGGCCGCGTCGCTTATTGCCGGGTTAGGATCTAATATCTATAACCGTAAGTGTTGTACTTGAGTCTGAGCTCTGACGAGCAAGAGCTAATACCCATTACTAGCTTCCATCCACGACATAGAGGTTGCACTCCATGCGACCAACAGTGATATCAGTTTAACCCTTTCTTTGTTCATCTTATTGCAAGGCGTTGTGCCCCTTCTATGGAGCTCTATAAGTGAGATAAAGGGGAGGAAGGTAGATTCTTCCTTCCGCTTATCGTGTATTCTCATTAACTCTTGTATTTAGGTTGTATATATCACGTCGATCACACTCTACACAGTTGGGTGCATTTGTGTGGCGACCGCCAAGAACATTAGCGTTGTCATCGGGATGCGTTGCCTTCAAGCTCTCGGGTTAGTACACAATTCCTGTGACGTCTGGACACCTATTTTAAACCATATTACCGACCGGTGGGTTGGCTAGCTCGAGTGCCGTCATTGCCATTGGGGCTGCTACTCTCGCAGATATCTATGAACCGCATGAACGAGGGACGATGATGGGCGTGTATTATACCGCGCCCCTCCTCGGTCCTTCCATCGGCCCCATACTTGGCGGTGGACTCACGCAAGGGTTCGACTGGCGTGCAAGCTTCTGGTTTCTAACCATATTTGGTGGGATCAACCTGATATCATTCTTGTTCTTTTTCCGTGATACATTCCGGCGCGAGCGAAGTTTGACGTATCAGCTTGTATTGAAAAAGCGGATAATGGAGAGAGAGGCGGCGATGCTGGCTTCCAAAAGGTCTAGCCAGATCACCGTAGTCACACCTGAAAAAGTCAAGATGGAGAAGTCCAGTAAACAGGAAGAGAACAAGGGAGCTACGCCTGATCCGACTGCTAAGGATGTCGAGGCTCAAAATAATGCACCGGTACCGTCTTCCATGAAGGAGATCAAGCTGTCCTTTATGGACATCAACCCCATTCCTCCGATAATACTCGTCCTTCGCCGATGGAACAATATCGCCATCCTCACTGCCTCCGGTGTGTATCTGCGTCACTGCCCGCGTTTTCGATGCTAATAGGATCGGGGCAGGTCTCATTTTTGCATTCAGTTACTGCATCTCCTACACATGCTCGCGCAACTTGACTTCCATATACGGGTATAATGCCCTACAGATCGGCCTGGTCCTTCTAGCTTACGGAATCGGTGCGTCTTACAGACGGGTTGGGTGAGCTTAGCTTCCCTGACGCTCGCACATTTCTAGGTAGCATATTTGGCAGCATCCTCGGCGGTAAGTTTTCGGACTGGACATTGGCCCGACTCAAGGCCAAGAATGGTGGGCAGAGTTATGCTGAAGTAAGGACACCTTAGCCGGTTCCGTGCTCCCAGTCGCCTGACAGATCATTTGAGATGCGTCTTGAGAGTACCAAAGCGACCATGGTGATCCTGCCTCTGGCCGTCGTCGCTTACGGATGGCTCGTCGAAAAGCACGTTCATATTGCTGCAGTCTGCATTGCCCTTTTCTTCTGCGGATTCAGCTCGATGTCAGTCGCCTATTACGTATGCCCCGAAGCCACTGCTGATGTACAATTCTCGCAGATGGATGTACTCGAGCACTCTGGCGTACATCGTGGACGCCAACGTCGGACGCTCTTCAACGGCAGTCGCTTGCAACAGCATGTTCCGTGGAGTATTCGCTTTCGTCGCGACCGAGGTTGCCGTGCCTCTGGTATGTTATCCACTTATCCAAGGGCGTCCCTGGTCATCACTCACGCTATCTGCATCACAATCAAGGACAATGCGATCGGCGAAGGTGGCTTCTACTCGCTCTGGGCTGGTCTCATGCTTGTCACCGAGGTGCTACTTCTCCTTGTATGGTGGAAGGGTGGGCAGTGGCGGGAGAGCGCAGAAGCCCGTGAGAAGGCTGCGGCTAACCGTCGATAAGCCACTGATACTGTACCTAACATGCTAGACAGCGTTTAGTTGTTCATGGAGTCTGGAATAGAATAACTCCAGATAAGTGCGGGCCATATTAATTGTGCGGTTTGGGAAGAACGTACCATTGTTCTCTGGCCGCCAGAGGTGGTTTTGTCAAACTATATACGGTTGAAATTGTGCGTAAACCTAGAATGGCCTGAGTGACGTCCGACAGCTGCAACGACAGTCTGTGAATCCAGCGTCATGGTTTTGACAGCACCCGCGTACTCTGACAGCGACCATATACTAGTATTCTAGTTCAGGGTCCATTGAAGAAAGCGCTTACCTGCCAGTCCTAACAGGTGTTTCGATACTTATCTCTGCTTGACTATAAACAGGCATTTCTTACGTGAGTTCGGAGGTGGGTTAATCCACGGGACATCAGAGCTCGCCATTCCGTCTCGCAAATGCTCCCCGGAGCCGACTCTGCCAGTTGTGATAATTCTGACAGTTAGATCGGCCATTTTTCGTGTACCCGCCGGGTAGCTAGTAATCTTAACGGGGTGCGGAAGAGGAAAATAAGATTACTGAGTGAACTCACGCAATGGACCGGTACCCCTATCAATCGCGGTGGTTTTACCTGTGAGAAAGAGAGCTACATGGCAGTGAGAGTTCTTGGAGTAGCGAGCGATAGACGTATGGTTTACGCGTCGATCTTCGGGTAAAAGTCGGTGTCTACTGAGCCCACGAGAGAGGTCGCCGCCGCAATACTCATGGATCAGCACATCCATGGATACGAAGATAGACCCTATCGGAAAGTGTAAGGACGAGAAAGAACAAATCCCGACGGCGAGCGAGAGCCCGCAACCTCAACATCGACTGAAAGGGTCTAGCCAGGACACTTCGACCAGGGACCCCATGGCCTGACATCGAAGGTCTAAGGGATTTCATGGACAGCAGATGGCGCAGAGCGGTAAAGCGTCGGCGGAGCTTGACACGGGACCGACTACTATTGCGGGGCTAATACCTTTGTCCTGCCTTACTGTTTCGATATAGAGATAGTAGGCAGGAATGTCCTGAAGTATTCTCTTCTGGGTCCAATACTAGCGCTGGAACGTATCGGCATGACTCCCGGTAGTGTGGCATCGAAGCGGGACAGTACTGCCAGTGTAGGATGAGACTTGACTTCCAAATACTGGTTTTATGTCAGTCTCGATAGCGAGAACAAATTCTCCCGTTTAGAGCAGGGAGATGTAATAGAGTACCAACAGGCGTGCTTCTCTGAAGTCTCATGGGACATGAGTCTCGCAAGGGTCCCTCCCAGGACAGGGCCCGAAGTCCGCGGGATGCTGGGCTGGCTACACGTGACTATCGCGGGAGGAACCCATCCCTGTGGCTATCGTAGGGCCCGACAAAGCCATGCTGTCTAGTATAGTCACCGATTGCCCGGTGCAGCTCGTGCACGAACAGCAGAATAGTGGTAGTGAGAGGACACCGCAGCCATGCGCAGTATGCTTCCTGAACGACCACCTTTCGCCAGTGGGGGATTTCAGACAGGAGTCACAGTAGAATGTGGCCGAACTTGAACGGCAGGGAAAACCATCTCGGGAAATTCCGGTGTTTGTGACCACTCCGTTCCAGCTCGTCGTTCCAAGTTCGATGCCTCGCTCAGCAGAACGACCGGGCAACGCCAGTCACCAGCCGGTCGAAAATGCGTCAGTATAGTTTTTCGACCGCTCTGTGCATATTTGGGACCTGTGGTCTCCACTTCCCTAGGTCCCCATAATCTTATCCATGACATTAACTTAAGGATGCTATATGCCAGATTCAGTCTTGATTCCACGCAAGTCAGTCCTTATCTTGCATTTATATATGGACCGCTTACTCCTACACATTCATAGGTGCAGAGATACGACAATACCTCTGTAGGAGCTGACTTCCCTTGTCAGCTCAAACGTGTGGTCTTCCCATGAAGTTCCTTACCAATACAGCGCATCCGTCATCCCCGGGAGGCGTTATCTAGGAGTACGCCCCTTACGTGCCATATGGCCCAGAAGTTATGTCAGAGTGGTCGAGCCCACTTCCGAAATACACTCGAGGCCCGACGATATGGCCACGCACCTTGGGAACTTATAAACCTCGAAAAGCCTCTGTAAGCCGTCGGGACGCCGGTTATCAGCAAGCTTTGCGAGACCTGCTGCTCTTTCATTGTAGATCATGACGCCCTACGACGAGAAGGACGTAGCGGACGTCCAAACAGCCTTCAAAAGGGAGGATTCCAACAATTCATCCGATGGCTTTGAGAAATATGTCACGGTAATGAAGCTCATGCACATTTGAGTTAGGTTCTTCACTCCCTGATGCGCCTCGCAACAGGAAGATCAAGCATACGTCCTGGAAGCGGACCTCCAGATGCGAGGCACCGACCTCGAGGAGGCCATGGAAGCCGCAAGTCGGATGACTGCAGAGGAGACTCAAGCAGCCATTGAGATGATGGTGGCAGAGGTTAGCGATTGCAAGTCACAGATGCAGACCGTCGGCTGACACACTCTGCTAGCACTCGACAGATCCCGTGAGATTTAGCGGCCCATTCTTTTAGGCATTCCTCTCATTCTGCTACGTCGTGAAGAACTTCCCTTCGGGAATCATTGAGAAAGCAAGGTGCGTGTTGCTTGACTTGGATACCAAAAGAACTGGTGCTATAAGGCGGCTTAGGCGATACCTATATGATGACACGTTGAAGGCAGATTCGACCCAATATGCCAAGATCTATGAAGAACTCAAGATTGAGGCTGCGATGATCATGATTGTGAGTACGATTAAGTGCATTGCGCTGTATGGGAGTGATTGACTGTCATAGAATTCTGCATACCCCGAAGTGCGGGCAGTAGTCGATAACCACGATGATCCTTCAATGCCGGCTAGCACGTTCAGGAGTTGGACCATTGGGCTGATTTATGTGGCCGCTGGGTATAGATTTAGCTGCAGTTCATCACCCAACAATTATTCTCACGACATTTGTTAGAGCCTTTATCAACCAATTCTTCTCTATTCGTCAACCTGGTATCACTGTCGCTACCAACGTTGCCCAGCTACTGTATGTGTCATTGCACCCGAGTCACGCTGGGTGCTGACGTTAAGCTTTAAGCGCTTTCCCTGCTGGCAAATTACTGGACACAATCCTTCCTACTTGGCAGTTCACAACTTTTGGTTATACATGGAGCCTTAACCCGTGAGTCTCTTGAACCGCGCCTGGATTCCTGTAACATGTATTTATCTCTGTTTTAGTGGCCCCTTCAATATGAAAGAACACATGGTTATCACGGTGAGTCACGTCGTCTGATACCCGGATGGCCGCTTCTAACAACTATCCACCCTAGATCATGGCTAACGTAGGGTTCTCGGCTCCGTACACCAACTATGTTATCTTTGTACAGTATATTGATCGGTTCTTCAATCAGGTTAGTCTGCAGCATAGATGCATGGTGCTGGATATAGCGGCAGCTGACCGTACTGTCTTCATTAGCCATGGGCTTCTAACTTTGGTTACCAAAGTGTGTATCCCACAACCGTATATCGATCACTGACTAGACCCCACTGCAGTTCTCGTCGGATTATCGACCAATTTCATTGGCTACGGTCTCGCTGGACTGACACGACGTTTCTTGGTATATCCCTCCCAGGCTATATGGCCCCAGAATCTCGCTACGATTGCTCTCAACAGAGCTTTCCACTCCGGCCGGAACGATGTAGTGCACGGTTGGAGAATCTCCCGGATGCGGTGGTTTATGTACTGCTTCACCGCTATGTTCATCTACTTCTGGTTCCCCAACTACATCTTCCAGGCGCTCTCCTACTTCAACTGGATCACCTGGATCAGCCCAAATAACGTCACTCTAGCCGCTGTAACCGGAGGTGTCACGGGCTTGGGCTTGAATCCATTCCCCACTTTTGACTGGAACATGTTGACCGTTGTCGGCGATCCGCTCATCAATCCGTTCTTTACCATGCTCAACTTATTCTTGGGTGCATTGGCTACGTTCCCGATTGTCATTGGTATCTGGTATGGGAACGTCTGGAACACGGCGTACCTCCCGATCAACTCCAATGGTGTCTTTGATAACACGGGCAATCGTTACAACGTTTCGAGGGCAGTCAATTCCGATACATTGTTCGACGAGGCCGGTTATAAGGCATACTCACCGGCCTAGTATGTGTTCAGCCCTCTCGGGCCTCATATAGTTCCTGACGTCTTACTCCTAGCCTCGCTGCAGGGAACATCTTGCTCTACGGCATCTTCTGTAAGCAGCTATCCTCTGAATCATCGCACCCTTCTTTCTCCTGATGGCCAACGTGTCTAGTCGCGACATACACTGCTACACTGTCGCATGCGATACTCTATCACCGGCACGAGATAGCTTACGGCTTTCGCAACCTGCTCAGCCGGAAATCGTTCAAGGAGAACAGCAAAGACGTGCACTCTCGTTTAATGTCCGTATACAAAGAAGTCCCCGAGTGGTGGTATTTTGTGTACGTTCATCGTTTCGGGAGTGGGCATCTCTTGCTCATGCCAATTCACCAGGACCCTTTGCGTTGCGATCGGTATAGGGGCTGCCGGTATCGGTGCTTATCCTACTAACACCACTCCCGCTGTTGTGTACGTCTTACATCTGGCATCTTCTGCGTCTTGCTGAACCGCGGCTCTCAGTCTCTATGGAGTTTTCTTGGCAGCCATCTTTTGTGTACCTATCGGGATCATCCAGTCCGTCACAAACGGTCAGTCGAGCGCCACCGTCTAGCAGAGGACGTTTCTGAGGGATTGTCGAATGCAGTACAAGTTACCTTGAATGTCCTTGCTGAATTTCTGGGCGGGTTGTGGTTCCCCGGAAATGCCACAGCAAGTACGCGTTCTGTCCTCTCTCTGTCTGTATGACGATACTGAGACTTTGTCCCGAAGTGAATTGTAGGTGGTCCTTCAGCCGTGTCGCCCAACCTGGGAAGTAACCAATTCTATCCGCAGATTTCAAGTCTTACGGCTACGTTACGACGTGAGTGTGGGCTGCCCTCAGAGAGCTCGAGTGGCTTATATTCTCCGTGGCAGGGCACATACCTTGTCCTTCGCTCAGGACCTCAAGTTATCACATTGTAGGTCGCTGTCCTTCACCTCTCCGTCTATTATTTTTTATCTATGAGCGATCAGACATGCACATTGCACCTCGTACTACTTTCACGATCCAGATGGTCGCTACCGTTGTGTCTACCTGTAAGTGATTGCGTCACGGTCAGAACGAAAAGTCTGACTGCCAACGTGTAGTTGTCTGCGTCGGTATCTTGAACTTCCAGATGACTCAGGTACAATCCTTGAACCTAACACTTCAGCTCTGGCTGACCCAACATCTGGCTTAGATTCCCGACGTGTGCTCGCCGACACAAGTGCGCCCCTCATATCTGAGGTATTACACTGACGCTGACAGACTTGACAACTCAAGCCCGATCATTTCACCTGTCCTGGAATTGTGAGTCTCTTTCTGTCTGACCCGCAGCTAACCATTGAGCCTTCGCCACACAGAATACTTTCTTCACCGCGGCCGTTCTCTGGGGCACCCTGGGCCCTAAACGAATGTTCGGCGGAGGCGAGATCTACAATGGTCTTCTGTGGTGCTTCTTGATCGGCGCATGTACGTCCATTCGAGTTGCTCTTGAGTATTGCAGCTTATCGTGAATCCGCTAGTTTTGCCCGTCATATTCTACTACCTTGCGAAGAAATACAGTATCTTCAGTCACTTCCACCTACCGGTGTTCCTTGTTGGAGGTCTTGTCTGGTGAGGGCGGTCCCTCCTACGGAACGCAAACCGTACTGAATACAACTCCTAGGGCGCCATATAATCTGACGAATATTTGGCCCGCGATGCCGATCGCCTTCTTCTTCAATGTATTCGTGAAGCGAAGGTATCTCGCGTGGTGGAGTAAATACAACTAGTAAGTGCTTCAGCTGCGCCTACATGATGTGAACTTACCACATCTATGAATAGTATTACGACTACGGCCTTCTCCTGCGCCATTGCTTTGTCTGCGATAGTGATGTTCTTGTGGGTTGTTGTCTAAATAGTGTCGAAGTAGTCGCTCACCATACCATCAGCGCTCTTCAATGGCCTGGTGTGACTATCAATTGGTCAGGGAACGATAGGCCGTATGCTGGCTGCGACGGCACCGGATGTCCGTTGCTGCCTATCCCAGAGCAAGGCTATTTCGGCCCGGTGAGTGCAGAGCTCTGAATTGACCCTGACCACAATCTAAACATTCTTGTCTACGACAGGGCCCGGGAGAGTTCTAATGTGTGTGCAATATTCCTGTACAAGTAGAGTAATGTAAGAGTTCCATTGTATGTATTTTGACGCGTGTCAGCTCTCCATAAGCCTTGGGTGAGGCATTGCTTGATGAGTATAAGCTGCTCGACGTTCCGGCCGCGGCAGAGGCAACTGGATTGCCCCCACCTCTGATACTCCATGATCCTGGTACTCCATGACCATGCGGCATGCATGAAAGGCGAATGTTAGTGTTACCGTGGGAATATGACAGAGGTCTAGACCGTGGCCTATTGTACCTTGATCAGCAACACTATGTTACGGTTTAGTATTTCCAGAGAAATCAGACTAAACGACTCCATTGGCGTGGCATGCAATCCTGCAGTTCCCCACTTGACAGAGCCTCGCGGTATGGACGATCGTGCATTATTCTGTCGCAGGTGAGCGTACTTAACGGGCTGTCAGGGATTCACGGTTGAACCTGATAGGCATGAGTATTTCGGACTTTCGCTGCAGTGATCCGTTGGTTCTGTGTCCCGCTCCGCAGATAAAACGTAAATGGGGCGTCTACGGCTCCGGAACAGAACCAGACGTCAATATATAATGTGGAGCGATCCGGAGGCCATGATCACTCGGTATGTTCTAGAATTCGTAGCATGCCCTCAGCCCAACATATAATGCCGTCAAGGAGCCTGCACGCTGCAGGACCAACTTTCAACATACCTGGGAATAGTGGCTAACGCGCTGGTATGTCGGGACTATTTGATTCATCCCCTCTGTATATCTACCGAGAGGCATCGCTCCGACGGTCTTGCTGTCCTATGGGCGGCAGGAAATATACTTCCGTTTCTTTCTGACTAGTCCGGCCCGTTATCAGAGCTAATCAATACAGCCATATTCTCCGCCGCTTCGAACTCGGCGTCCTATAGTATACTAACCAACTGTTGTAGAGATCAAACATAGCGGTCACAGTGTCACCGTCGTTTCGCACGCCCAAATTTCATGTTTGGGATCTAGGTGGCTTTCAAGCCAACCCATTCCCCAGACTGGGTCCAGCTATCGACGCGCACGCCAACATCACCACAGGATCTGGATGATTACCACTTTACCGAGCGATATTTTGTTCTCGATTATTCGGATACTCCCCATCCCAGATCTTCTTGCTCTTGGAGCGGTTCGTTTCGGTCTCGCTACATTCAATGGGGAAGCTGACAGACGACACGTTCCCAGACATGCAAGACCCTGCACACCACGACCGAAGACCGCTCGGTATGGGTCCACGCCATGGAGTGCATTTTGGAGGTCATGCCGATGCCTCACGTCTCTAAGACAATGGCATCGATGGGCACGCATGAACTGAGGCAGCGAGTGATTACATCCACTCGTCTGGACGGCATATGGAGCACCGCCGACTTCGCGCCGGAAAGTATCCGTAGCATACCCTGCAAGTCCAGCGTGCGTGGAGTGAGGCTCCTTCCTGATGGCCGATGGGTTATCATGCTCACCCAAAATGGGAGTTTGGAGTTGTACAATGCGGGTACCGACAGTCCCGCTGCCGTTACCCTCAGCCCTGGGAAGCCCGTCGGAGCTGTCCACTGGATTACTTCGCTCTCGTCGACGTACGAACCGTTAGTGCTGCTGAAGATCGACTCGCAGTCTAGGAAGTGAATGAGCCCTCTCCGTCCGCTGCCGCCCTCGTTGACTATGCTCTAGTGCCAGCGATCTTTATCTCTATCACGTCGACCTGCGGAGGCCGGCACTGAAGCGTCGAACCACGGTGACTTCGCCGCGGCTCATAACACATTTTAGCGCCGGAGGAGACCTGCTGGCGTTCGTCACTCGAGATGAAGAAAGGTACGTGCTGCATGTGCAGACCGTCCCGAAAAGCTCTGTCGAGCGTACGGAAGAAGTGATTGTCAAAGATTTCCAACACTGGCTGGTAAGCCCCTGTATTTCCACTACAGTTCCGTATCCTGACGCCGCCTTCATTGTCATTAGGGAAATGATAGCGAGTGTGCTGTATCTCTGCTATCTCGCGGTCGCATCGCTGTTACCAACAATCAGAGTACATCCATCTTCTCTCTCCCGGCACTGAAGCCCATTTTACCTAACTCTGTCAACGTCGTACTGTCGCTCAGTCCTACTTGGACCGGACCTGGGGGCAACGCGAGCAGCCTGCTGCCGCAGGTGAGCCCTGTTATCTGGGAGCCTAGGAGTTGCCACAGCAGGACAATTACGGTGCTGAAGGACAACAGCCTGCATGTGCTAAACCCAGATAAGACGGAGCCAAAGTCATGGATTGTGCCCTTCAATACTGCAGCCGGACTGGAGGGGTACGAGGGGTTATATCGTGGGCCGAAGTTCCGTCCCGCTGATATTGGTTTTCACCGCATGGTCTTCCACACGGGACGAGGGATGAACGCGCATGGGGAACGGGTCTTGACGTTCAGGACGTGCGTTATCCCTCTGGTCACGACGCTCTCTGCCACACTTTCTCCGCCTCCCCAACCCTTGGGGTCCTTTGAGATACCTTCGGTAGATGGTCGCGAATTCGTTCAGGAAGTCAGTCTGGATGAAGGTACGGGACGAATGTGTATACTGGTCATGATCTATGAGCGATTCGTGCGGGCAAAGAGGATAGTGTATGTGAATGTCGTGTGAGAGCTTGGAAAGGAGCTTCGCATGTGTGGTCTCTCAGTTGGGCCCGTGCAAGTCTAGGAGGTCGAGGTCGTAATGAAGGCGACACCAGGTGTGGCGAGCTACTGTATCTTGGCGTCTTTTTGAATCGTTATTTCTTGTACTTCTTGCTCATAAGCGTCCCATTAGATACGCTTCCCACATCTTGTTGTATCATTCTAGGTTTCATACTAGTCGTACCAATGCGCTGACTCTAATCTTGTGATTGCAGCGACTCTGGACGCTTGCGGCCCATATCAGTTCAATCCCAACATGCGAGCACCTCTGTACGTCTGGCGGGCCACTATACTCAAGTCTTAGTCGACGGTCGGTTTATCAGCACGACAATCGTCGCCCCGCATGTTACTAGCAAGGACGAGTGTTGTGGCATTTTTTCATGCTCGCCGAACCTACTCCACACAACAGCAAACAGACATCGGGCCTAGGCTTCCTGGTCAACTGGCCCTGAAAAGGATCTACGCGATCTTCTCTCAGATCTTGAGACTGCACCTTGGGCCTGGCTTGCGCACGTTTCACTATTGCCTATAATGACCTTTTTGGAATCCACCAAAGCTGAACCCGCAAAACAGCTGTGGGACGCTGTTGGGCTTCCGCCAGAGGAACTCTCACACCTCCGACTCAGCCCGAACGCAGATCCTGCGGTGGATTCTTCATTCAGGCTTGGGACTGCAGCCCAGGCAAGTCAGTTGCGTCGAAGGTTGTCTGTGTACTGCCTCTGATGCGCTCAGAAGACAGCTATTGGACTTTCGGGTTCGTCGGCTGCGTATTTCCACAGGCTAAGGACAGGGCACGCACAGGAAGTTTCTGTAGACGCGCGCCATGCCATCGTAGAGTTCAGTGCGTGTCGTCGCACATGTCGATGTCTACACTAAACCTGCTCATGATCAAGTAGAGAGCGAGAACTGGTATACCATCAACGGAAGCTTGGCGGGTTCTGGATCCCTCTGGGATGACATTGCTGGCCTCTACCGGACTAAGGGTGGATACGTTCGGATCCATACAAACTTTCCTCAGTAAGCTTTGACTCAGCCTAGTTATTATCCCTATGAAGCCGACTGTACATTCTCAGTCATCGACAGGGTATACTCGACATACTGCAATGCGAACCAAACAAAGATTCAGTGGCGGAAGCACTGTCAAGCTGGGACTCCATAGAATTCGAGACGGTGGCGTCGGCCCGTGGAATGTGCGCTACGGCACTGCGGTCATTCGAAGAATGGGACGAACATCCGCAAGCTAAGGCACTCCGAGGCGTTCCTCCCGTCTCCCTTAGTAAGATAGGTGATGCGCCTAGGCGTGAGATAGAGCGCGACGTTACCCGTCCTCTGGATGGCATCAGGGTCCTGGACTTTACTAGAGTCCTTGCTGGCCCTGTTTGTGGTCGGACACTCGCAGGTATCGTACCACATATCTAGCCAAGCCCAGTGGGTTTCATTCTACGATGATTACCAGCTCATGGCGCGGACGTGCTATGGATCACCTCGCCCAAGCTTCCTTCTCTTCCCCTGATTGATGTCGACACATCCCGTGGAAAGAGGACCGCGCAGCTCGACCTCACATCCGATGCTGACGCCGAGATATTGAGGTCTCTCGTAAGAGAAGCTGACGTCTTCCTACAAGCATACCGTCCGGGTGGGCTGGAAGCCAAGGGGTTCGGAGTCGCAGAGGTGACAAGAGAGCGTCCAGGGATTGTGTACGCAAGTCTCACCGCTTACGGCTGGGATGGACCTTGGAAGGATCGGCGAGGCGTGAGTTCAATATTGTGGTCAATGCAACCGGTGACTCGTTTATGGGTTTCCTTCATGTAGTTTGACTCCTTGGTGCAGACTGCCACGGGTTTCAACGTAGCAGAAGGTGAAGCGTACGCTGCGCATAGCCAAAGCCAGAAAGGTGCGCCAAGGCCACTGCCGTTGCAAGCCTTGGACCACACTGCAGGATATTTCCTCTGCCTTGGTATCAATGCTGCTCTAGCCCGAACTGTAACGGTAGGGCGACAGTTGGTTTGCGCTGCGCGCACTGACAGATATCATTCCGTTAACGATCCTAGGAAGGGGGATCATGGGAAGTCCGGGTCTCTCTCGCAGCGGTAGGACAGTGGATACGATCCCTAGGCCGGCTCCCGCCCCAAGTGGGCTTCGGAGAAGGACTCCCTCTACCTGCACGACAGATCCCCCTGGCACCCGAGATCGCAGCTCTATCCACGACAGTCCAGGGATGCGGAGAAGTGGAGGAAAAGCCGCGCAGGACCATGACAGCCATTAGACATGCAGCAATCCTATCTTATACCCCTGTTCGAGAGGGAGAAGCGCCGATGGGGCTTAATAAGCATGCAACGAGGTGGCTGCCTCGGAAATTCGCACAAGATTCCATCCGCTTTGCACGCACTGTGTTATGAAGAATACCGTGATCCATCGCCTCCAATATCTTGTATGTATACTACGGGTCGCGGCGTTGCATGAATCGTGCTGTCATAACGGTGAAAATATGCTCTCTCATATGATATACCTGCGGAAACAAACCTATCTAGAACATACGCATAGGAGGAGGAATTCAGTCATCAACGCATTGCTTGAATGCGAAAGACTTGGGGTAATTCACGTGCCATGAGTGAACGGCATTCGCCGAGTCTAATACCCCGGACTCGGATATACCGCACTGGAGATCCGAGAAACAGTCTAAGGCTGCTCCCCGACGTCCATCCTTGTATCTGTTGCCGGAATGAGGCCCTCAGCTGTCAGACTACTTAATGTTCTGGTCCCAATAAAGAGGTGCGTGACTGCGCGGTATACTGTTGTCGTACGTTAGTGGACTTCGATTCAGGACAATAGACTACGCGGTGAAGATCCGTGTTAACCCCCAGCAGACGGGCGTGGACACGAATGTCAAACATTCGATGGTATGTGGTAGACATCTTATGGGTCTCAGAGCTTCTGCTGACCTGCTTGCAGAACCCTTTTGACGAGATTGGTTCGTACTCCATCACACACGAGCCGTTCATCGACTGATCTGAAGGTTAAAGCCGTGGAGGAGGCCGTCCGGCTACGAGAGAAGCTAAAGGACCAAGTCAAGTCCATCAAAGTCGTGACCATTGGCCCTCCCAAGGCAGCCGACACCCTCCGCACAGCGCTCGCTATGGGCGCTGATTCTGGCATCCACGTCGAGGTGCCCGAGTCCGCGCCCGCCCCGGAGCCCCTGGGCGTCGCTAAAGCGCTGCGCGCGGTGATCGAGCGGGAGAAGGAGAAGGGCGGCGTGGACCTAGTGATTATGGGCAAGCAGGCTATTGATGACGACGCGGGGCAGACGGGGCAGATGCTTGCGGGTATCATGGGCTGGGCGCAGGCGACGTTCGCGAGTAAGCTTGTGGTGGATACCGGGAAGAATGAGGCGACTGTGACGAGGGAGATCGACGGAGGTTTGGAGGAGGTGCGGTGTAAGCTGCCTGCTGTCGTCACTACGGATCTACGGTAAGCGCCTTCTCTACACATTTGATGTGTTTCACTGAAACTTCGTTTCAGATTGAATGGTATGGCTAGGTTTCAACCGGCCCTACCAAGTCTGACCTTATTGGTACAGAACCTCGATATGCTTCCTTACCCAACATAATGAAGGCTAAGAAGAAGCCAATTGAGAAGGTTTCACCCTCAGACCTCGGCGTGAACTTGACCCCCATATTCGAAACTATCAAGGTGACCGAGCCTCCCAAGCGGACAGGTGGGCAGAAGGTAGGGTGTCTCGCTCTCTTCTGTGGCACGACATACTGACGGCTGTCCGACAGGTGGAAAGCGTGGACGAACTGGTAGCCAGACTGAAGCAGGCAGGAATTGCTGCTGTGAAGTCGTGATCCTTGGAATGCTGTATGAATTGCCAGGTCTGGATGATGTACGCGCACAGCGAATCTGCGGCGATGAACACCTCTCGCATCAGTCATCGAGCTCAGGGACGTACAAGTCCATTTACTGGTACAACTAACATACAGGAAATCGGAGTAGACTAGATTATACTAACCGAGAGCCGATAACATCACATGCATCAAGAATCGTGGTGGAATAGCATTGCTACATTCATGAAACCAGGCATATATGAGCGATCACCGAAAGCGAAGTGCGGGTCGAGAACTGTGGTATGCAGGAGGCAGGAAGGAGCAGGGAGATAATGACGAGAATCTAGAGTCCTTTTCCATTCAGACGACACGAGGGGAAGCTGGGGTGACAGGTGTTGAAGGTTGATTCTGGAGATCATCGGAAGTAGAGACACCCTGGTGACCGACATAAATAACCGTACACCAGTCAGAGGAAATAATACTCACTTTTGACCGACACGCAGGACAGTTATTGCGGCCCGTCTCCATCCACTTGTCCACGCAGTTTTTATGGAACGCATGCTTGCATGACATGACCCTTAAATCGTCCTCTGCGAAGTAGTCATCTAAGCAGATCAGACACTGGAAGATGAGAGGCAATTAGATTCAGTCGGTGTTGCAATACTGAGTCGACTTACTCTATCGACGCAATTTGATGCTACTCTCCCCTCCTTCTCATACTTCTCAAGGTCGCATGGCTTAATGATCTGGAGACCAGACTTCTCGATCTCCTCCCGCGTCGCGGTAGGAGGCTTCACCTGACCCAACAACTCCGCGAGTTCACTATGTCAATGTACCAGTCAGTATATGATACATAATATACGCCAAGAATCTTACAGCAGTGCCTCGAACGAGTCGAGGTTGTCAGAGCCGGTCACCATATGATGGTTAGGAGGATAGTATCCTGAGTAGGAAAAAGCACGTCAGTACGTGCTCTCTGGGATAGGTGAACGAAGACAAACCCCCTATGACATAGATCAAGAAGGTCCTCGAACCCGAGTTCTGAGCAGCATTGGGCGTATTGACACTATTCCGACGAGTGGGCCGGAATCGACTCAATGCATTGCGCCAACTCTGCCGCCTGGGATTGGCCGTCGGAGTATCTGGCACTCCGTCGTCCATTCCATCCGCGACCGTAGGCGTGTCTGGCCTTGGAGGAGCCGGGTCTGCATGCTGTTGGGTCTGCGACGTGCCATCGGCATTGACGGACTGCAATCCGACGACAATCACGGGTACGATCATGTTGACGTTCGCAGTCGGTTCTGGCGGCGGGACAGCAGTCTCTGAGCCTGCCCGAGGGGTGTCTTCGAAAACGGGTGATGAGGGCACGGCTGCGTTGGGTTGCTCAACGTGTTCTGACACGGTTGGAACAGTACTAACACCTGGCGCATCAGAACCACGCGTAGGATACGTGTTAGCGCTGCCAGCAGTTCCAGCAGCCTGTGCCTGTGTCGAAGGGCTCGGCATAGGAGGGAAGCGGTACAACCTCCACCAATTGATACCACCACCAGGACGTCTTGTAGTATGTCCTTCCACGCGCCGGTGCGGAGAAAAAGGCGAAGTCGTCTCAGCTGGCGGCGGCGACGGCCGCGACTCCGCAACAGCTCGGGAGAATATACCCTCAGCAATGTTCTCATGTGGTCGCTCTGGACCTGCCGGTTCCTCATACTCTTCCTCCTCTTCAGACTCGTCCTCAGAGCTGGAATCAGACACCGAGCGCAAGGAGGGCATGTCTCCATCACTCTCCTCGCTGTCCGAACTGCGAAGAGACGTAGGCAATACATCTCCAAGTTCATCCACGGCTGAGTCGACCGACGTCCTGGGTTGATCACTACCGGTCCTGGGCGCCTCCACAGAGGCACGAGCAGCGCTCGCTGCCTCGTCCGATTCGCTATTGTCATCGTGATTCTCGCTCAAGGCCGTCCGCAGATCGGCCTGCAGGTCGACCAGGAAGCGCTCGAAGCTGCCTTCAGCAGGAGGCGGGGCAGGGGGGCCTGCCGGCTGTGACGACACATTCGGTGCTGTGGGAGCAGGTAACGGCAGAGTATCGACTCCGGCCGCGTTCGACGCTGGCGACGCCGTGCTAGCATTACTGTCCGCATTCCGGTCAGCGATCCCCAGCCCCTGGCTCAAAGCTCTCGCCATCTCTCTCAGCATCCTCTCCCGCGGATCAAGCGCAGCACCTTGCCCTCCAGCATCGCCAGCGCCGGCAGAACCACCTGTGTCGAAGCCCGCATTGGATGGCGAAGCAGGCGTCAAAGGAGGCGCACTCAGACTAGGCCTGGGTGTTGAAGAGGCGCTGCCCGTTGGAACAGCACTCGGCGAAGTCGGAGCCTGGGTAAGCCCCAGACGCTCTCTGAGTCCACCCCAGGAGTTCCTCGCCCTCGACCGACGGCCGCGATCATTCTCAACTTCTTCAGAGCGACCACTAGCTAAGCTGCTCAGGCCGCCTAAGCCAAGCCCGCCTAAGCCCAGGCCAGCGGTCGGTGTGGGCGACGTAGGTCTCTCAGGCCCGGTTGGCGGCGACGACGATGGGCTGGGGGGTAGCATGAATGGATTGGCAGGTGTGGAGGGGGGAGCAGGGATAGTTCCATTGCCGAAGCCTGAGCGGAAACTAGACAGCGGGTCGGAGGACCCGCTAACTAGAGACGCCGCAGTAGCTGCTGCTGCAACGCTGGGAAAGAAATGTTCAGTGAGATGACAGCAAGCGCTGAAGGAATCAGAGAACATACCTTAATAAGGTACCTAGAACCTCGATGCTACCAGGGGACAGGGTAGAACGCCCGCGGTTTGGAGGGGATGTAGCCTGGTCTACAGAGTGAGGTGGCAGAACTACACTCGGCGTTTCCGCAGGTTCCGCATGCTCCTCGCCCTCTTCCAAAGGTTCAGTGTTCATAGTGGCAGCCGGGGCACTGGGGGCCTCGAAATGACTCGAGGATTCTTCCGTAGTGTTCGAAGTCAGTGCATGGGCACTTTCCGTGTCAACACTACTTCGTGACGGGATGATGCCAGACGCGGTGTCGGCCGACTCTCTTCGAGGACCAAGCAAGCTGGATCGCCTGGAGCCTGAGATAAGGGCTGATAACCGATTCCTTCGGCCACTGGATTCAGACCTGGGAGTGGGGGTGGACGAGCGCGACATGGAGAGGGATCGGCGGGTGGTTGGGGGAAGACTGGTGGTGGGAGAAGCTGGCGTGGAAGGGGCAGATGGAGGAAGCGTGCCAGGACTAGCAGATCGGGGCGGCTGTTGCGAATCGATGCTCCGACGGGGCACGTCAGTCGTATGAACGACCCCTTGTACCACTACCAGGGTTCCGGCAGGAGGGAAATGACGGGGCTCGGAGGGTTGCTGATTGTCACCAACGTTATCTTGCGCAGAGTCGGATGGATGCTCGGATAACGGTTCGAAGTGGCCGACTGGGGTTTCATCAGCGCGCGACTCGGGCACTTCGTCAATTGGAGGGTGTATCTCGTGCAGTGCAGGTTCGAGGGACGGCGAGGACGCGATGACAATAGGTTCGCAAGGCGGTGGTACCGCAGAACTCGACGCGCTCGCCCCCTCTTCAACCACATCAGCCTGACTCCCGTCCGCCTTCCCATTACTTATAGCAGGAGCAGGAGCCTCTACTGCGCTGCCATAGGCAGAGGAAGTCTCGGGACCCGTCGCAGTCTCCGCAACAGACTCACTAACATCACTGACTTGGACGGGCACCTTCGATGACCTGCGCCAGCGTCTCCTCGTCGTCGAGGTCGCACTCCCGTCAGCGCCTTCAGTACTAGACTTCTGCCCGCCTAAGCCTAGCCAACTACGTCGTCTGGCACGTTTGTTCTCTACAGAGCCGCTGGGCTCGGGCGTCTCTTGTGAGTTCGGAGAGCTGTGCACGTCCGCCACAGCTTCAGGCTGTACTCGTCCAGGTGTCTCTGGTGTATGACCGTCAACGTGTCTAGATAGTCGTCTTGAAGTAAAGTTGCCCCTGGAATGGCTCTGCCCCATGATGCCGCCCTAGGAACTTGGACTCGCAAGCCGCGTGCGCGAGAGTATAACAGGAATGAAACAGAGAATTAAAGGATAGTAACAGTGTTTCGGCTTGCTCCAGCAAAAGACGTAGCCGACAGACGCAGTCCAGAGTTAGAAAACAGGCAAAGAAAAGGGAACGGAGGGAAGCGGGAGAGTAGAACTGCAGCACAGGTCGTCGCAGAGGTTAAAGGATGAGAACCGTGAGCGCTCGTTACGCCGTTACAAGTCGTTACAGCCACTGTGGCACGTGGCACGTCGCCCCGCCGTCAGGCCTGGGGACCAACCTTACGAGGTCGGCGTGACTCGGTAGAGAAAGCCAGGTAAAGAGGAGCCAACACACACTCCAACACAGATTTGATCACAGTCCGACCGGTACCCGCGTTAGCGGTGGGAGGGAAAGGACAAGACTTTGATTCGCGTTTCGTAGTTTTATGGACTCTTACTCTACCAGACTTCTGCCCGCTGCCGGCATGCCATTTCTCAGGTCGCATGAACATAGAAGTCAATAGATACCCAGCAGAATTGACATGCGGCCGGTCTTAGCGCAGATTATCTAGGATGCCCTGCGAGGGAATCCGAGACGGAGAGACAACTCACTAAGAGCGGAGCCTCCGCTGGCCTCTGGCTTTGCGCCAACAACACATCACGACCTATCACGACCCAATCGAATCAGCACATGACATGGCATTTCCAGTGATCCGTACCCACATCGTGGTAAGCTTCTTGTCGTGCGCGACCGAAGGAAGCTCCATTGTACGAGCCGCTGCAGTAAGAGTAGATGCCCGGGATGGATAGCTCATCAAATAAGGCTGTGCACTGACATACTGGAAGTCAACTCACACGTCCCCCGACGATGTCGAACATCGTTACCAAGAGACTTCTCGGCAATCCAGCAGTTGTCTTCGTACAGAATGCTAAATTCGTCGCAGGATTTACAAGTAGGCCAACGTACGCCGAGAACAGAGCGCAAACGGCGGCTAGCTGAGTCCGAACTCAGGGATGGCGGGAGCAGATGGAAGACATACCGCATTCAGAACGAAGTCAGAGGCGCACCCAGCCCTGAATATAGAGAATCCCGCACGATCCCATTCAGCAGGGAAATTCACGAACCTTCCTATGAAGTTCAGTATCAGCGGTTCCGGGCATGCTTTCAATCTTTCCGAAGCGCAGTTTTGGCAGAGAAACCAGACGTACCGCACGTATACATATGGATGGACGAGACACGTATACGCGCAACTTCGCAGGTGAGTATAGTACGGGCGGAGCGGCGCCAAGTAACGATATTCCTAGGATTAACACATTATAGCGGCAATAACGGGCGAGTCCGACAATTCTTAACCCAGAGTCAGCGTCTGCACGGCTGCTTCAGAGAAGACCGGTTACCTACGTGTACACTCTTCAAGCCCACTTGATACCACCTTTACCCCAATTAACAGTACACCTCCAGGCCTCCTCCGCAGTTTTATCCACCGACCTACTGAGCATCCAACCGTTCTCACTTCCAGCCAAAAACATATCTTCCCGGATATCGAGTTCTTCCGGTTCCCCGACAGCATTCTTTTCGTTGTCTCTAGTCCCAGGCGTGCTGAGGAATGACACTGTCCTTGGTGAAGGTGCAAAAGTGATACTCTCAGCCCCGGCATCATTCGGCAGATGATAGAGCTGCGCGAAACATGAAAGTGGATAAACGTTGCGGACGGTCATGTGAAACCAGCGATACCTTGACGGAGGTGCCTGCGGGAGGAGCGACGCCAGTTTCGAGAGATATCGTACCGCGAGCTGGGTCCCCGGACATGATCCTGTACACCTGCTGAAGCTAGGGTGACCTCTCAGAATCGCCTGCTATACTCTGCTCAAATATATAACTTGCTTTGTTATTCTTTGTAACACCGAGGAAGTATACCTCGTCTTGAGCCAGGCTGTCGCTCGCAGCATTGGACCGTATGGCATTGAGCAATATCCCGGCGGGGTTAGAGTTGTCCAGTTCTTGTACTAAGTTCCCGTCCGATCTGGACCAGGGGCCCTGATTAGTGTCAGACATGGGACTTGGCCGCAGAATTAAACCTGGTTATTTGGTACAGGGGCGTGATTTCTCGCAGACCGTGGAAGTCTACGCTGGAGGCAGTATTGCTTTTCGTGGTGGCTATGCCTACCGCACCATCCGAGTATATCTGCCCGTCGTGAAAGAGAGTTACAGGCCTTCCAGTGATGAAGGGAGTCGAGGATGCTAGGAGACCGAGCTTGGGGGAGCTCCACAGTCAACGTCAGAGCCCGCGGCGAGATGCGCATTCACCTTATTAGCATTCGGAAGGGCATTCAGAGCATTGTTCAACCCTTCCGGCGCGAGGTCAGAGAAATACGCAACGCCCTTGACGGTTTCCGGGCTGTATGCGGTGGCGTCACTGCACGAAGCTCAGGAGGATGGCAGTACTGCCGACCTTAGGCCCCTCAGCTCTTGTGGCAGCTCGTTACCGCCTAGGTCTCGCTTCCACACGTCCTCCCAGTTGACGTCTTCCTTCAGACCCACCGAGTATGTGCCAGGCGGCGGGGAAGTCTCCCCCTTCTTCCGGAACGCGTGCCAGCGGCCTACTTGCGGTTCGGCTCGGCCGGGAATGGTAGATCGGAAGGCGGTAGTAGCAGACTTGTCAAAGACCGCCAAGCTGCAAGATATGCGAGGGACGTTGCTCTTGAGCCAAGGAGACACCGAGGACGATAGACATCCGACATTCCGATTCGAAAAGGAGGTCAAACTGGACACGATGGCCGACAGCTCAGACTCGGAGTGGGCGTCCGCCGACAGCGCGAAGAATAATACGTTTTCTCTGTATACCTGGGGCAGGCGAGACAGGTGTCGAGCCAGCTGCACAGATTTCGAAAACAGTACAGTGCTCGTGTGTAAGATTGCCATGATGGGGGCAGCTAGGACATAGACGGGCTCCTCCCGGTTATTACAGTAAGATTTTCACTGCCCTGGACCAAGATTTTCCGTACGGATATTTGGAGGGAAAGATGCCGAGGTATTCCAGTGTCCTGTCGGTGTGATCCCGTCAAATTCCATGTAATGGTCGGACAGGTGGGCGCCTGTGGGCGCTTCTCCTTCGTCTGGCGAAGTCACATGACCGTGTCGACAGCCACAACTCCTGGGGGTGGGCAACGCCGCGTCTGAATGCGTACTATTTGTACATGTTTGGCTCGGGCTTAAACGCGATTTGGCAGTGACCAACTGCTGTCGGACAACGTTGTGCCCCCGCTATTGCCTTTTCAAGCAGATTTAAGTCACAGATTTGCACAAAAAGATCATTACTAGTGCCTGTTCAGTGAATTTTTGGGAAATTGCTGATAGTTAAATAAATAGTGTAAAAAAAGTTACCCAATGGACAATCTGGGTTGAACACGCACAAGAGCTTACTTGATAGAGCACTTCTCATGTTTGAAGCTAGACGTGAAAGTGAGTCTACGAGCCAGCACAGTGTCCACGGTAGTCGACTGAAGAAAAGTGATTTGGCGCGAGACGCGGTGTGACAGTGATGTGACTAGGGCGAATGCCCGGGAGTTCTGTCATTTTATTAGTTCTGACATTTAATCATAGGCTTACCTTTGGGTATGACTATGTTATATACACTCATTAGTGCCTGCTTAGACCTCAGAAGAGTGAGGTGATTGTGTATGG